GTGAATTGATTACAGCAGTTTTGTATTTATTTGAGGTAGAATGGCTTTCAAAGTAATTTTTATGAATATTGACTTCTAAAATTTTCCACATCTTCAAAAAATTTAGAAATAGGGCAGTCATAAAATCAATAATCAATATTACACTTATTATAATTAAACAATATGAGGGGTTAGGGGGGCCACAGAACTGAATGAAAGTCAGAAGTGGGCCACGAGACTGATCTAGACAATCGGTTCAAAGATGGCGGTAAGGTTGTCAACCTTACGCGCCGGCCGCGCTTTACTCTCCAGGAAAATTATTTAATTCCTTGTACACATTTCTGTTAGAGTGTGAGTCGACTCCAGGGCCATAGTGCGGCTGGAAGGATTAGGTAAATTGAGAAAATCCACCTCATCGGGACTCGAAAGAGCAACCCTCCGGTTTGTAGCATAGTGCCTCAATCAATTACGCTAAAGCGTGTCCCGAATTAGTAGCGAGAATGATTATTAAATATTAAATATATTGATTGAAATAATTTCTTCTGATTTTTTTATAAAAAGATAATTTAACAGAAAACATAACAAAATGTGTCAAAGAAGTAATGTATGAGGTAAAACTAATTGTAGTTAACATAAGGATATATGTGGGGGAAGTGCGCAAACACGTAGCAACCATCATTCGCTTGGCAGCAACCAAACAGATGCGCCCAAGGAGTGAAACTGTCTCCAAGCTTATCTTCAATTGTCGCAGCTATCCCTTCCACCCCAATATGGCATACTGCGACTAGATATCTGTTGTCTTCCGAGAATTATAGAAGAAAGCACATCCTCAGTATCTCGAGGGCCCTCAGACCGAAAGACCCCACGCTTACCTTTTTTTTTTAACTGGTAGTGGGGTGGGACTAAGTCCCTTGTACTGCTGCCACTTCAGGCCTATTGTACCAGCCCCAGATGATAGGTGAGGGTGATCTTGGAGCAATTGGTGGAATGAAGATGGGCAGGGGAAACCGAAGTACTCGGAGAAAACCTGCCCCAGCGCCACTTTGTCCACCACAAATCCCACTTGACCAGACCCGCGATCGAACCCGGGCCGCCGCGGTGGGAAGCCAGCGACTAACCGCTTGAGCTATGGCGCGGCCCACTTTTAACTTAGTTCTCTTTTACTTATATCAGGGTCAAAATTGTTTATACCGCACCTTATCTGTTATATGCTGTATATGTATGCATGCTGCATATGGCAATACTGTTCCTTACGGGGTTTTTTTGGTTTACTTATCTACAAAGTCTTCGATTTATGAAGTCGCGAAAGTGCTCAGAAAGTGAGCTGGCCACTGGCTCGCTTTTCAAGCATGATCGCAGCGTCATAAATTGAAAGTCTCTATTATAACCATTGAGGCAGGGGGGTAAGTCGAACCACAAACTCAGGATTTGGTTATTTCCCTCTGACCAGGGCCCCGCGAGATATATATCATTATGCCGAAATATGTTTCATCCTCATCGATAGTGTCCCACGGAAGAGGCAGATGTAGCGGTAACGCTATACACTTATATTCTGGAGGTACTCGGTTCAGATCTCGGCCAGGACACGGGCTATCCTGACTGAGGGACTTGGTCGTCATCCCCAGCTCCCCAAAGCAATTGCTGTCACACTGCCTCTATTAGCCTACGGCTGCTTCCAAAGAGCAACAATCATTCGACGCTATGCAGACTAGATACTGACAGGGCAGTAAAATAAAGAACTCCGTCGTTCTAGTCCGCAACCGAACTACACCGGACCGCCTCTGTGGTCTAGTGGTCAGAGTTCCTGGCTACAGATCCAGCGGTCCCGGTTTCGATTCACGGGGCTACCAGATTTTCTGAGAATTAGTGGGTCTGGAACGGGGTCCACTCTGCCTCGTGAGGATAATTAAGGGGCTATTTCAAGGAAATAGCAGCTCCGGTCCAGAAACTTGAAATTAACGGTCGTGGGGATTCGTTGCGCTGACCACTCGACACCCTCTATCCGCAAAAAATGACACTAACTTCGCCAACAAGCTGCGGCCGCTCGGTCGGTATAAAATAAAGAACACATGGATAAAATACGATGTCCATAGAAAAATGTCCCTGGTAGGACAACCAACAAAGCCTCTCAAGCCATAAATCCTCTCTACGGTCGTTCACCAGGGTCTGCGCGTGACCCTTGTGTCTGGTGCTGCCGTCATGACGTCCGGTGCCTGGATCAAGGCGCTGTCCGTGGACCCCGACAGCTTTTGCCTGGCTTTCCTTGGCCAGACGCTGGTGGGAACGGCGCAGGTATTCATCCTGGGAGTGCCGGCCCGCCTAGCCGCTGTCTGGTTCGGACCCCGTCAAGTGTCGACAGCCTGCGCTCTGGGGGTAATTGGCAATCAGGTGAGAGGTAACGGCGAAACTGTGCTTTAGCTGAATTAAACAGTAAACCATGGAGACGCAAGGAGTGGGGACACATAGCTGCAATCCTAACCTCGGCATTAGGATGAAGTGAGCGCTCAACTTCACGCCCCGGCCGCTTTATCTAGGAAACGAGCTCTCGGTACCAATTGGATAGGAAACTTGGCGAGTGCAAGACCCGAACTAGAGACTGTGAAGAAGAGAAAAGGCTCTTGCTTTTACCGGGAATCCACGGTCGTCTAGCTCGTAGTCAGTTACGTGCTGACTGTGGTGTCCCGACCTCGGGAATCCTGTTAAAGGGTGCCTCTTCCACGACGGCTTCCTCTATAGTTTGGTGGTGACAATGAACACAATTGTGCTGTTAGGCTTTGAGGCTAACGTTCCCCACCTCATGACTCGTGGTACGCAGGTTCAAATACCTGGCGGAGGTCGTCGAATTTTTAAGGGCGGAAAAATTCAGGGAACAAGTCCTCCGGGAGGGACTTCAAGCCGTGTGTCCCGTGTCGTAACTTTACGGCATGTAAAAGAACCTCATATCTCTAAAGGAGATCACTGAGCCAAATTCCAGGACGTTTTCCGCCCAACAATAGTCTTTAAGGCCTCTGATAGATGGGGGAAGCATTATAGACACCACTAAAGCAAGTGGAGGCCGAACTTGCTTGCTCGGCGGGACTGATGGTACGCACCATTATCGGTAGGGTATAGAGACTGGTAGAATATCATAGAGGGAAGCACAATGGACCAATACTGGTCTAAGTGCATGGGGAAACCCACCCTCTCCAATAACTAACTAACTAACTAGGCTTTGAGGCTTGTTCTGATAGATTTACACTAAATCTGATATACACATTTGTATTGTTCAGGTTGGAGTGGCCCTCGGCTTTCTGATTCCCCCCGCCGTCGTGAAGAACCACGAGGAACTTATTGACGTTGGAAGGGACCTCAGAGCCCTCTGCTACGGCTTGGCCATCTGCCCCACCATGGTACTTGTTCTGCTCCTGCTGTGTAAGTTCGGAGAAAAGATAACATTCTTATTTTAACAACAGCCGTGAAATAGTGCATGGACATAGGTGCTAGGCCTCAAGTGTGTGGAATTTTGTTTAATGTTTTTAATGTTTGTCTTGACCCTCGCAGACGGTTTATACCGCGCTTGGCTTCTATGTCTTTTCATGCGCTGGTGCTGGTGTCCGGAGACAGAGACTAGCTCAATTGATTTGGCCCAACTGAGTAGGTTCTATCTTGAAACGGAGGCAGAATTTAGTCTCCGAAACGCTGTGTTTTATATAAATACAGGACGATGGTTAATGTTCGGAAATAACAATAACTGTACACGTGTTTATGTCCAGTACACTTGTCTGCAAATCCTGCGGTTTTTGATATAATTAGTTACCGGCAAGTACACGTACGTGTAGACATATATTTGGGTGGTAGGAAGGTTCGTTTAACCAATATTGAGAATAAGATACTCTGCTAACTTTTACCGATTGGTAATCTTCACGTGTTCGTTCGGAAGAGCATTGCGTACGGGCCTAACACGTTATAAAACGTCAGCAGAGCCTTCCTTTCGTGTGAAATAACAATTCCTATGTATACTACTTTACGTAGGCCAGTCTACAAGAAAACAAATGCTTCAATATTTTCACGAAAGATCACAATAAATAAATTCTTGACTGATGTGAGTGTCGACTGTGTTTAAGATCAAATTTGTTTTATTTTTAATGCAAGGGCCTATGAATATATGACTTTGAAATATGTGATACTAAACAATTTATATGTTGCATTTAAGCGTTTCTTTATAGTATGCAACAACAGTAAACAGTGAAGCCTTAAAACTGTTTATTTACTTAGTACACAATTTTGAGTTCTTGAAAATCTGAAAAGCTGTCACCTAAGAGTGACTAGCTGTATGCCAATTCAGTGTTCGTTTATTATAAGACAAGCGTTAATTGTAGCCTCAATTATTCGGTTCGCCTAAAATAAAGACTCGACAACCAGAATTACAGAATATGGCTTTCCTTTTTCAAATTAGTTATATTTTCTATTCTTAAAACTAATGCGAGTTCGAATCCCACTCAGGGCATGGATGTTTAGTTTGTGTGTGTGCGCTTTTCTGCGTTTGCGACGAGCTGATCACCCACCCAAGGAGTCTTACCGAATGTGTAAGATCTATAAAACCGAAGTGAACGGAGAAGTTCATGGATGTAGGCCTAGGCCCACTGGGGCTGTAGTGCCAAGGGGGAGGGGGGACTAATGCGAAGAGCACGGACCCCATCATGTCATTTTAATTATGACCATTTCTGTGGAACGCGCAATGTTAGCAGAAGCGACCCCTTTTCCTACAGTTCTAATGCTTATAGCCTAGCTTTTTCTTTATTTGGATTTCCTTTGTCTTCATTAAGGCACGGTCCTCATTATACAGGGTTAGCCTAAAAGAAAGAGACACTTTCATAGCTTTCAGAAAGAAGAGTTTTAATAGCATGGCCGAGATACTTATATGGTTTGAAAAGTACACCCTGAAGTTTACATGGGCACACACTTTTACGGGATACAGCACAAAAAACGTGCACTTTAGGTGTCCCTCACATGTTCTACTACAGCTCTCGGGTTTTCAGTTCCCCATATACGAACGTTGTGTTTGTTCACCGTACCACTATCGTGGAACGTTGATTCGTCACCGAAAACTGCCGGTTAAATAAATCATTACTTCCGTCATTCCGTTGCTGCATGACCATACAGAATGAGAGACGGAGGGTTCTGTCGTTTTCAGTGAGGTTCGCAATAATTGCAACCGGTAAGGGAACCTTCGTAAACGTTTACGAAGATATTCCGCACAGCCTTTTGTGGAACTTGAAGTTCTAAACTTGCACGTGTTGTCGACTTTTTTTGGGCTGCCCCGTGTAAGTTTCACGAACACGAGTCATTTAAACCGTCTATTTCTTTTAGGCTAATCCTGTATTATATTTCAGCATATTGTTGCATTGATGTATCACTCGTTCACTCATTTCCGTCTCTAATGCAACGATTTTTGGATGCATTAGAGATGGAAATGAGAGAACGAATTATATCTTCTCCAGTATGTTCACATCGTTGATAGTTGATGTACATATCTCTATCTGATGTAGTATTCAATCGTTAATTCGAGGCTAATATCAGGGAATATTGAGTGCAAGCTTTCAGTGAAGTCCGTCGGAGACATAGTAGCGATGATGACGATCTGATATGTTTGCTTAATATCTAACTTATTATTGTCACAAAGAATATTACGCAGCTCACACTCACTGATGGTAACATTACTGTTATGAATGGTTATACAGTCGTGTAGTGTCAACAATTGTTGGTTCTTTATCTTCGATGCTAACTTAATATATGGCACGCTTTTATCTCGTCTGCAGTCTTTCTCGGTGCTAATTCAACTTTATTTACTAGCACTAGACGAAGCTCAGTACATATTACACACCAGTTCTGTCTGCGAACCTTCGCAGGAATTAAATTAACTGGTATTAGGTACTGGCGCTAGATGACACTGCATAAATGCCACACAACTACTCGCTTTACGAACTCTCTCTAGGTGGCCCAACAAGCTGCGGAGTGGATATTTTAATATTTGAGTATACTAATCTGCCAGAACTTTGTCTCCAGTCTCGGCGAAGAAGTCCGCTAAAAGTGCTGGTATAGTGAGGAACGCCCTTTAAATATGTCTGATCCCCTTCGCTAGCTCTTTGACTGTTACACTCAGAATGTCTGGTTACAGCTTCAATCCATTGCCTCCTCATTGACATTTAAGAGCTAGCCGCAGATCTAACAATCCACAGCAACGGTTGGTAAAGCTGCTAGAAAGACAGTAGCCTTCTTTACCCTTTGGCTTGGTTTTACCTACCGTCTGTTCTTTCCTCTCTTCTCTGTTTTTCTCTTCCATCTTTCTGCATTGGTAAGATTTACGTCCCTTCGTGTTGCATACAAAACACGTGGAAATGTGAGTTATTTCCCTTCCAATCAACAATCAGTGCTTCAGCAGGAGCGACATCCTCCTTTGTATGGTGCTTGGAATTTTCTTGTGTCAATACTGAGCCCATATAATCGTCTGAGATCATCGTACCTCAAATTTTCATTGTCTCGGACCATATTCGTCCCCTAGTCCACTTAGCATTATAACCTCAGTAAATTCATCATCTATATCGGATAGAATTACTGCAAGCTTTTGAGTCAACGACAGAACTTCGCTCAAATAATGATTCTTATTCGGGTTATCTGTGCCGGTCACGGTAGCCGAGCGGTCTAAGGCATGTACTGTCTTCGCTCGCTTGGAAACCGGGATTGTGGGTTCGAATCCCACTCAGGGCATGGATGTTTGTGTACAGGTAGAGGCCTTGCGACGAGCTGATCACCCGCCCAAGGAGTCCTACCGTATGGCTAAGATCCAGAAAAACCGAAGTGAACGGAGAAGTTCATGGAGGTAGGCCTAGGTCCACTGGGGCTGTAGTGCCAAGGGGGAAAAAAAATTCTGGTTACCTAGTTTCACGCGAAATAATCTTCTCAACAGTCATAACCTTTCCGCTAGTCCTTCATCTTCATACGCCTATTGAAATTTCTCCCACGATTCTTTTACAATTTTTGAACATCTTATCATGGGATGCAGTATCTTTTCCACCAAATGACGCATCTCGGACTTCGCCTTCGTGTCCTTCCTGACATTTAATTTATTACCTGTCACTACACCCCTAAAATATTCAGCTCCTAGATAGAGTTCATGAAAAAATCTGTCTCTCTGCTTAATTAAGCACTACGCCATGAAGACGTATNTACCTCCAACTGCTGCCGAGGTGTATATATATATATATATATATATATATACACCTCGGCAGCAGTTGGAGGTACTGAACTGTTATTACAGCAGCTGTTCCTTTCCATATCTTACTAACTCACAAACCACAGCCCTTCCGTGTGACTGACTAGTGCACCAGATCGAGCGAGTCTGGGTCAATGGCCTGTTAGGATGTATGGCTACATGGAAAAACATTTTGTTTCTTTGCCTCTATAGTCTTTTGGACCTTGACCGCTTTTTCAGTTACTTAATCCTATACACAGTCGGTAGGACTCCTTGGACGGAGGATCAACCAGTCGCAAGGCCGCTACGTACACACAGAAAAAACGCACAAAGCCATTCATGCCTCGAGTGGGATTCGAACCCATGACCTCAGAGTTCGAGAGGGCGAAGACGATTCATGCCTTAGATCACGCGGCCACCGTGATCGGCCAAAATGGAGAAAAATATTGCTAGTGGGGTGGGACTAAGTTCCTTGTACTGCGGCCACTTCTGGCCTATTGTACCAGCCCCAGATGATAGGTGAGGGTGATTGTGGAGCAATTGGTGGAATGAAGATTGGCAGGGGAAACCGAAGTACTCGGAGAAAACCTGTCCCAGAGACACTTTGTCCACCACAAATCCCACTTGACCAGACCCGGGATCGAACACGGGCCGCCGCGGTGGGAAGCCAGCTACTAACCGCTTGAGCTATGGCGTGACTCCATAAAACGGAGAAAAAACACACTAGTGTAAAGAAACTGCTTCTACATCACTGCTTCAACAGCTTTTATACGTGTACTCCACAGTCTCTCTTTCTTAGAATAAAGGAAGATGGAGCGAGAGAGAGAGAAAGAGAGAGACGAACACTTCCGTAGTGACCGGGGGGGCAAGGATTGTAACAAATTATCTATGATAAACTTATAATCACACAATGGCATTCATTCTAATGACAAATGTAACATTACACAAGAAGTTCATATCTGACAATCAGGACGTTCAGATCACACAGGAACATTTCAAAAGCTCTGTTAATTTATTCCCAACAAATTTCAAGTACTTACTTCCAATAGTTCATTAGCTATTGGCAACAAACCGAAAGGCGAATAAACATTTCGCAATGTCGCTGTATTATAATTTAACATTGTACATAGAATTACTACAATAGTTACATATTTTTCGAAAATTTATGAGCTACTTCCGGACTGTAAATTAAGTAGCGTTCGTGACGCTGCCACCCCAGAAGTACGGGGGTCTGCGGCAACAATACTACTACTAATAATAGAAGGTCAAAAAGTACGAAGTTTGGTTGGCTCCCAGTGGCATAGCATTCTATAGTTTTGTGAAAACCGTAAACTGTTCAAAAGCCGAAAACGGAGACACCCAAGACACGGTGATTTCATGACTCTACTTTCTTTCCTTAAAAAAAGGAGTGAAATTTGGAGTGTCTGCATTACACAAAAGCCAAGTCTTCTCTACACCGATACAAAATGATTTCATTTAATAAGCTCATATTTAAAGAAAGGGCTTAAGTTACTCGTATGCAATCCCTCCGGGAACCAGCTTAGTGTCAGTTGTCGGGTGCAGTTTTCCAGAAGGAGCCGCCACTGCCACCCAGCCCTGCTCAAGCAACTCTGAGGTGTCATGCCCCCATAACGGACAAGAGTGCGGACAGACAAACATACCTGCAGTCTCTGAAGTCGCTGCTCACCAACAGGAACTTTGTGCTGCTGCTGCTCAGCTACGGCATCAACGCCGGGGTGTTCTATGTTGTGTCGACACTGCTGAATCAAATAGTACTGCTGCACTTTGCTGTGAGTTGTATATAGACTGTTCCACGTGTCAGAAACTTGTACATGAAATGTTGTGATCGTGTGGTCGTCGATGTGCCGAGATAACCTGGGCTTTGCTGCTGTGTCACTGGGATTGTGTTGAGTCATCTTGTGCTCTTTACCAATGCACCCATAACTGGTTCTCCTTTCCAGTGGGCACTTGAGACTCTTTGTACTGCGATCCCAGGCATGGGCGCCGGCTGGTGGAGTGGGAGGGGGACAAACCAGGGATCGCCCCACCCATCTGAAATGAATTGGGATTGAAGAAAAATAATGGACTATGTCAAATATTAATAATAAGTATTTGTAAAAACAATAATTCTATTGTGAGTACTTAAGGTAGGGTTTCTCAAAGTTTTTGACAAGGCGATCCACCTAAAATAATTTAAAATTTTACGTAACCCTCACCCTCTATGTTTGCCGGTCAGCGAAAACTGCAATTCTGCACTGCTGCTAGCCCCCGTCAGGCTGTGTAATAACAGCACTAACATTAATGGCTTGATAACCTCTCTACACCTACAGTAACCTATTAAATGTTCCTATATGGCGAAGAAGAGTGCAGTTCTGCACGTACTTTCCAGTCCCCATCAAATTATTAAATGACGGCACTAACCTAAATAGCTTTATAACCTCTCTAAATTCCTGTACATTGAGGAAAAGTGCAGTTCTGCACACTGTCGCAGGTCCCAATAAGCGTTGCGGTGACCTACATAGTTCTGAGGGCTCTGAGACACATCTTCATCAACGGTAAGCATTATAAAATGTTACAGGTCAGTCACGAAACAATTTTTTAAATATTTTGCAGGCTGTAGATATATTTCTTACAAGCACTGTATTAAACCTTACCGACTTGACCAAATATATCCAAATAACCAGTGCCTTTTTTGTGACGGTATGCACTGGTACGGTGTACCGGCACTTTTTCCAAAGCGATGCACAAAACCAACCGAATTTCGCCACCATCTACGACGTCTACGAGTTCGGCGGGAAGAGAAAAATGAGCTTACTTTTCGCTTATGCGCATGCGTATGTTGACATGCTTTAGGTATAGATGTCGCTGAACGTCTAGCCGTCTAGCCGCCAAAGTGTTGTAGAGGGGAAGGCGATGCGCGCGCATCAAAGCGCGTTCTTCAAAACACAAATTTTCCGCATTTCAGTTGCGCGAGGTCATCATCCAGCTCAATCCAGCTGGAGCGCCCTGTAACGTATCCGAAACTTTGCCTTACGAATGCAGTTCAGCCTGGTAACTAGGGAGTGTAACTGCAAGATGTTTGGCTGTATGTATAGATAACATACATGGTATCTAGCGCAGTCGAGGCGGAAACACTAATGTGCTACTTTACTGCTTCTTGAACCAAAACGCAAAAATAAAGATGATTACTGCTTTGTAGGGTACTATCTTCTGGGATATAACGCCGTGCAGTCCGTTGAAAATCAACCGACATTTCGGAGGAACATATCTCCTCCATATTCAGAGTCGAATAAGCCGAACAAGACAGAAGAGCGAAAGCAGGTGGCAAGCCAAGTAATCGGCTGGCCGGAAATATTGCTTTATGTAGGACGCAAGCACAAAAAAAACCTCCGTTGTTTTAGTCCGCAAGCAAAGTATACCGACCGAGCGACTGCGGCTTGTCGGCGAAGTTAGTGCCAACTTTAGCAGATAGAAGCTGTAGCGTGGTCAGTGCAACGAATCCCCACGGCCGTTAATTTCGGTTTTCTAGACCGGAGCCGCTATTTCTTTTGAAATAGCTCCTCAGTTATCCTCACGAGGATGAGTGGACCCCGTTCCAGACCCACTAGTTCTCAGAAAATCTGATAGCGCCAGGAATCGAACCCGGACCTCTGGATCTGTAGCAAGGGACTCTGACCACTAGACCACAGAGGCCGTCTGTAGGAAGCAGAGGGAACTGAAAAAATAGACTTCAGTTCCAATCGGCTTGCCATGGGACAGAATGAAACTGCTGGACTCTCGCCCTACTACCGAGCAAACCAATAGGAGACAAGAACAGGAGTTTAGGATGGTCCTGCATAGGGTCGGTTTTGCTGGTCTATGGTCTAAGAAAATGATTTTGGGGGGGGGGGGTATGGGTGGATTGGTCACGGAGACTTGTAAGGGAGTCGCAGGCCTGTGGGGGGGTAGGGTGGAAGATGGGACATCATTTCCTCCTTCCTCTCCATCTTTAGCATAATTTCCACTGATAATGAATCAATGGCCATATAGCAACCAATGTTTTCTACCTTCCTATAACATTTCCTTTTCAATATCTTTCTGATTAATAATCATGCTTAAATAACTTGTTCTCAATTCCTATGTGCCATGAATGTGTAGGGTTAACTTGCACTGTTATTATGTCCCAGTGACTGAGGCACAATATCTTGTGCTCAGTAGACTTTTTATTTTGTTCCCATGTGCCTGTGCTTAACTTCGTACCTATCCTGTGCTCTGGCCCCATACTGCACTAATACAGTGAACTCTGATCTCACGTTCTCATGACTGTGCTCAGATATATGAGTACTGTGCTGGTTTTATGTCAGTGCTTATGTTGAGACATGCTTTGATCCTATGTTTTGAGATATCTACAAGTAGTTTTATGCTTCAGTGTCCTGTGGTTACTTTTACTGCGTTTTGCAGGGCGCAGAGGAAGATGCTGGCAGAATTGGCCTGACAGTTGTTCTAGCAGGGATGATGGGGTCTCTTCTTGGCGGTATTATCCTTGACAGGATGCACTGGTTCAAGTGAGTCTCAGAAATGCTCGAGTCTTTAATGAATGTCACTCAAACGTAAAAGAACATTTGTAAATATTCTTGAATTGTCTGTGATACACAATTTACTTTAATGCATACAGAATTCCTGCACATTAAGGTACTACAACCTACTTTGAAATCTGTGATAACTTATTGGATGACAGTCAAAATTATTTGTTAGGAAACACGAATTGTACCTAAATTTGAAGAGTATTATCATCTTGGAATGGATCACATGTCGTGTGGTAGATCATGAATGTTTTGTAGGATCATACCGCTTCATTTCATGTGCTCTGTTTGGCACTCACTTCCTGTTGTTCACTTGTTCGGCTTGCTATTTGACCCTGAAGATGGAGGCAGTATGAGCCTCTGAGAAGCTGGTGAACTTCTACCAGACTACACGGTGTTACATCCCAGAAGACAGCACTCATCATAGTCACTGCTGTATGAACCTCAATTCTGCAACATTTACTTTTTGATACATGAAGTGATTTCATTAATGGATTTTGAAAAACAAAATAAAATGTACACGTATAGGTTAATATTTCCCGTGTCGTAGCTTTATGGCATGTAAAAGAACCTCATATCTCCAAAGGAGGTCACTGAGCCAAATTTAAGAACGTTTCCTGCCCAACAGTAGTCTCTAAAGCCTCTGATAGATGGGGGAAGTATTATAGACACCACCAAGCCAGTGGAGGCCGAACTCGCTGGCTCGGCGGGACTGATGGCACGCACCAATATCGGTAGGGTATAGAGACTGGTAGAATATCATAGAGGGAAGCACAATGGACCAATACTGGTCTAAGTGCATGGGGAAACCCACCCTCTCCAATAACTAACTAACTAACTAACTAATTAGGTTAATATTGCCAAGCCATAGTATCAATTTAATCTATACTCTTACAGTGTCTATGTTCACATCCTTATAATGTCCTCTGGGTTGTGTTAAAGAAATTTACCTAATACTAGAACTTGTTTCTTAAATTTACAAGTCACCAAATTTAAAATTAGAGGACTCAAGCTTGCTGGCATCCATGACTCCATATTCAGTCATAAAACATATGAAGGTTTCCCCTCAAAGGTTTGGCTCCCAGCCCTTGTAGGAGACAGTCTCATATTGGCTGACTCACAGTCACACCTCCTTTCCCCTGTTCACTATATCGATATTCACATTTTCCTGTGAGGCTCCTTGTTTTGTTAGTTTTGTGAGATGTGCTGAGACTCAGTCAACTTAGCACATTGGCCACGAATTGGCCTATTGTACCAGTCCCGGATGATAGATCCACATGAAAAAGTTGGTGGAATGAGAATTGGCAGAGGAAATTGAAGTAATCTGAGAAGACCTGCCCCAGTGCCAATTTGCTAACTACAGATCCCATATGATCTGATCTGGGATGAGACCCAGGCAGCTGTGGTGGGAAAGCAGTGACTAACAGCCTGAGGTAGGGCATGATGTCTCCTGTGAGGCTTACTCTTCTACCCTGAAGATGAAACTTTGGTACCTCACTAGCAGACTATACAGAGTCACATTGCGGAATACAGTAATATTCATGTTGACTGCTGTGAGAATCTGAAATCTCTCAATTTATGCAATGCCCGGTACATAACCTCTGAGGTGAATGAAATGTGCTGACATGCAGTGAAATACGACATCCCACTATGAGATGGTTGGTACAAGCTGAACGAGAATGTGCTTTGTTCCAGGCAGTGGGCACTGCTAGTGTACTTGATGTCACTTGTAGGTGTGCTGGCATTCATGTTCACACTGAAAGTAGGACACATCTGGGCATCCTATCTGACAGGAGGGCTCCTTGGGTAAGGATATGAGAGTGTTAACTATGTATATTGGCTGATTTAATTATATCTGTCTCAGCAGTTTACTGATCATTTATTTTATAAGGCCTTTGGTTCTTAGAATGAATGACTAAGTTTTCTACACTTCTAACACACCATTGCTAGGAATAAATATATTTGTCTTCCTGAATGTAGGAACCAAATCCTTAAATGTCATTTTGATAACCATTTTTCAACCAGTGTTCCATTGCTAAAATTATGCTCCTCTAAAACTTCGGTTCCATAAAATGTGGGTAATTTTTTGATCATCTGAGTAGCAATTAGTTTCTAGAGGACTTTGCACTTTGGAGTTAGTTATTTGTATACATGATCTGAGCTGGAGGAATTACATTTACCATCTTGTGACATATTTGTGCTTCGTTTTGGTTTTACCAACTACTAGGGTCTACTGAGTACTGTTGCTGTAGATAGCTATTATTGTGTTTGAGGAATCTGCTGCCTCCATCTTCTGGGTAGAAGATGAAGGCAGAAGGTTCCTCTCAGATGTTAGTAACCAACTGACAGACGACATAGCATTACATTTCAGAAGACTGTAATCTTAATATTCCCTGCCATGAGAACTTCAGATATCACATTTACTGTGTTTCCTCAATTCTAAGTAACATTTTTTCTTCACATTTTAAAGTTTCTGAAACTGGGGTTTGTACTACATTTGATGGCATATAAAAATCAATATCTAAAAATTATACTGCATGGCTATAGCAGAAAGGAAATCTTCATGTCTATCTAGTCATGGGACAGCAAACACAAAGACAGCAACAAAGGGACTCCAAAGTATTTCTACATATTTCTATTGTTAAAATGTCCTTATGTGTGATAATGTACAAAGCACCTGACAGGGGCTTGGCAGATGAAAGTATCAAGTAGTTGTAATATTAACTAATATTCTGTGAAGAAAAGATATCAATCGGCATTCATTCTTACACCTATGCTGATTGTTGCACCTTAAAACCTTTCTTTCAATAAAAACTTGGAAAGGGGAGTTAGGGGTGGGTAACAATGACATTATTGAATATTTGGTTATCGCCTCAGTTCACTGTTGGATATATTCAATGCTATAAACAAATGTATTTAAATTTTAATGTAAAATATCAAACTTTAAATATGAAGGTAATTGCCACTTTACAGTGTTTTGGAAACGGTTCCATTATGATGTGGATTTGGAATGAAAGGACATTGTATAAGCAGCACAGAATGGGAAGAGTGTTGCTGGATGTAAATATGTAACCACTGGAGCAAGCGTTTGTCACTGGAGGAACAGTTGACCCTCCACACTTTCGTGTAAGGCAACCGCTGAGAACTTTAGAGGACCAAAGAAAAGAAGACACCCTGCTGTGGTTGCTCCAGTCCTGCATTTCATAAAAGAGAAAGGTGCAAAGGTGACACCACACAGCAGGCTATACAAGTAAAGGCAATACAAACTGCCAAGTAACCCAGACTAGCAAATTACAAAGATGGGTGACGGTGCAACAGATTCATGTGCCATGAAGAACTGGCATGCATATATCAAAGATCCATCTGCAGAAAAATTTTAGAAGATTTTCAGGAGAAGCTTCTAAACTTTCAGGTGTATGTTAGTCAATTAAAGGACAAAATGTTTAAGCATTTAGGAAATGAAAACAAGACAACAGTGTATTGTGAAATGCCTTGAAGCTTCACTGTTGATGCTACAGGTGTAAAAAAAGTTAAGACTAGCAGCACAGATTATGAAAAGCAGCATGTGGTGGTGATGCTGTGCAGAATTGCTGGTGGACATGAATTACCACTTCATATTATTCTGTGTTATAAAATGATTTCTTACAACAAGATGTTCCTTAAAGATGTTATTCTGTGTGCATAACAGGATGAATGGATGACAGCTGATCTGATAGAAGATAGGGTGAAGTATGTCTGGGAAAGGCGCCCTGAGGTCTACATAACCTACCAAGTATATTAGTTCAAGATGCCTTTAATTGACAGTTGTCTGAAGAATTGAAGGTTATAAGACCTAAGAGGAAGAGCTGCAACTTGGTTGTGATTCTTGGTGGCATTACGAGACAACTCCAGTCACTCGATGTTGCAATTAATAAACCATCTAAAGAATATTTTAGGAGTGTGAGGCTTGGCTGCTACCTGAAAACCTTCCAAAACTTGCAGGGTCTCAGCTGCTTGGAAGAAGATTGCAGCAAAAACAGGGGAACAGTCAATCAAGAAATTCTGCTTTACAAATGTACTTGATGGAACAGAAAATGATATCTTAACGGGGCAATTCTGATCTTGACTGTCCTGATTAGAAAGCAAATTAGAAGATTCTGTAGACTTAGAGTGTGAGACTGGATGCACACATGTACAAGACAGTGAACAGATATATTTAAATTTTCACTTTTGTGTTGATGTGTATGTGTGTTGATACAGAGAAGTTTTATGTTTGAATATTGACAATTCATATTGTAATATATGTACTTTTTTCCTGAGAACCTATTACTAAATCAAGGGAATATCTTACAATTGATGACATCTTAAAATTGAGGAAATAAAGTACTTTATTTGTGCAGCAATATCACTAAATAGGTCAGTTAAAATTGCACCCCTTTTCACACTTTACAACTGTAAATGTATATCAGTGGTCATGATGTCCCACATAAAGATGTCCTTATACTCTAAATAGACATATTCACATATGGCAGTAACACATTCGTATGTTACAGTGAGACAGATGGGACTCTAGTCCATATTTCAGTTTACTGGTCCATGAACCATCAAAGCTTGAAAACAACTTATTTTGATGACTGTTTAGCACAACTTGATCCACTGAATTCTTGTGAAATATTTCAGGAACCAAGAATGGGGTGGCAGGCCACAATCCTAGAGTGACAAGTATGGTATTTGTCAGGTTGTTTTGTCAATTTGTGCGTTTTCACAGTCTTGCCAATTTCAACAATTGTAAGTTTTACTGTCTTCAAGGTTCTTCATGATTGGCTACCTTGGGATTGGGTTAGAGTTTGCAGCAGAGCTCACCTATCCAGTCCCTGAAGGAACTTCATCTGGAGTTCTCAATGTTTCAAGCGAGATATTTGGCATCACGTTCACTTTGATTGGTGGGGAACTTCTTAATGCTTATGGTGACATGGCCACCATCCTTACCCTGGCGGGCCTGCTGGTTGTGGGTCTTGGCATGACGACGCTAATAAATGGAACAGATCTCAGGCGGCAGGCAGCAACAGCTGTTTTAAAAAACCAGACAACATGCACCAATATATCAGGCTTCATACCCAGCGTTACACACAATTCAGTGCTATTTCCAACAAGTCTTTCGGGTTTCCCATCCTAGATCCATTTTAAAAATGGTATGCTACAAATCTGTGATATGAAGAAGTTGGAATTAGGAGGAACCTAGTTTGAATCTTGGTTCCCTCCAGTTATCTTGACTGAAGTCCCTTCGTCTCATGACGCAAATGTTGTGATCATTCAACTGTCTACTGTTTGGAGTGAAAGAGGTCATGGACATGTTAGTGGAGTCTTGACTGTGATAATGGAAGGACGTGGATAATTTGAGAGCTGTACATTACCAGCAGTGGGATATGTGAAGTGCCTGCTGTAAAATTAACAACAGTTGAAAGATGTGTTCCATTTTATAGAATGCATACTCCAAGAACATGTTTTACATGCTTTTGCATATCACACTCATGTTAACGTTCATTTGTGCAGATGCAAGTCTAAGGTTGAACACAACATATATTACTACATACATTGCACACAGACTTTCCTTGTATTTCTAAAAATGTATAAAATAAAGTAGGTCTGCATGAGAGCTACATTTTATGTAATCTTCCCAGTTTCTTGTACTATGAAATGATTCTTCAGAAACCCAGTGTGTAGTTCAGTGCAAATTATTTGGGGTTACACTGCATCACCATGAACTGGAATTAAATTCATAAGAATATTGTGTCAGACACTGTCCACCGTCTGGGGGTATATCTCATATACACAACCTTTCAGAAAGTGGAGCTGCTTCTGTCATCAGGTAGGTGGAAAATGGAACCTGTTTGGTTGGACTTGAAAGAGTTAGTCTTGATCACTTTATTGAATGAGAGCACTTTACTTTGGCACAGGTAACAGTATAAATACAATCTTACTTTACAACTTAAAAGCCACCAGTATAAAATTATGCTATGAAGAATAATTTTCAAAAATAGGAATATATATCATGTGAAAGCCTGTTCTTTCCTCTAAACTTCAGTATGTCACACTTTATGCCATCTATTGACAGAAATGCTGTACTAAATGACTACTCAGACAATCTTATTAGCATGCAAAGGTTTAAACAAGGACTTATCAGACAGCATGCAAAAAAAAGTCACAAATAATATAGCATTTCAATAACTTTTCTCATTGGGAAAACAATCAGATAATGAGTTTCTGGTTGGGTCTGAAGTATTAATTGAAAATCACATTCAAGAATTTGACACTGAATACTCTGATTCATTGCGGAAGGAAGTTCATAGTGCTGCAACTGTTTGAAAAAAGGCGCGACATCCCCTTAGTCATAACAGGATATATAACATGCAGAAGATTGATCAAATTATTTGCTGCAGTGCAGACATGGGTGGAATAATTCCATAAATGCTTTACACAGCCACATGTTAGTATAATGCAACTTACATCAAGCTTTTTGGAAACCTGAACAAATGGAAGTCAATACTTGGAACTTCAGGTTCCTGCTGAAGGCAAGACAGACATGGCTATAGCAGCAGTTAAATAAACACTGTAGAGCAACTAAAAGTGGCTGGCACAAACTTCAGTCAAATTCCTGCTCCTTAACCTGTCAATAGATGTCAAGCAAATCTTTTAACATAATATGTCCAGAAGCAATTGTATTGTCTCCTAACACTCTAACATTTCCAGGACAAAACCCTGAGTATACTTCTGTTAATCCACCATGTCCACAGAGCCAATTGCAAATATACACACTAATTTCTGTCTATTTTTCTCTTCTTCATCCTGACATTGAAGACATTTGTTATGTCAACTGTGCTTGTGTCTCTTAGGAGAACATAAGTTGAAGTGGTATTAAACTTATTTTCAAGGCTAATTTCAGAGAATAACAACAAAAACATAACAGTTTTTGTCTACTGGTTAAACGAATCTGACCTGATGGGTACATCAGTTTTTCTAAAGTGGGATGGTTTAATGTATATATCAACATGTTTTTTCCCTTTAAATGAAAGTTAGGCTGCACTTGTTTCTATCAGTGACAAAGAGATGAAATTACTCAAACCGAAGCTTCAGTTTCGTTTCTGTTGTTATGTCCCCTCTGTGTTTAATGTCACCTGCCATCTGCTAGGACAGAGGTTTCTTAAGATTTTTATATTTAAATAAACAAGATTAAATTTAGTCTTCATAGATCATATAATTCATCACAGTCATGTTTTCTTCATTACATAATTCTTAACTGACTAAATTTTCACAAATGATTTCAACAGTAAGGCTCATACATGTCTTTTACATTGCCATGCCTAACCAAATATCAACAACAAATTTTATTCTCTATCTCGCACACATAAAAATATAACTTTTATGCCAGGTTCTGTGAGTTTCCTGTTTCTCACCATGGACTTAACAAAAAACGTCCAAGATATTGTTAACTATACTTTTTACAGCATGTACAAGAGCCATCATAGCACTTAAAGCGATGTGCAAATACTGTAGTAAATTTTTGGGATGTGATTTGAATCCTCATTGCCAGCTTTTTAATTCACATAAGGAAATTTTTACTTTTTTATTTCAATGTTATTCTTCTCTGAAGCTTTTAGCTGCTATATATCATGACATTTCCATAAATGGGAAACCCAGAGAGAAACACGAAATAAAAAGCATAGCAGCAATAGAATCAAATAAATTTAAGTGTGCATAGATCTCAGCTAAAGCAGAAGTAGAGAAGGTATGTGTATGCATATGGGCATAGTCACAAAAATTTTAAAGACAGGGTACATGGTATAAACTGGGAATGGATGTAGTCTTCTGTTCTGTAGCTTCAGCCATTAGAACTAAATATCTTGATATTTTTGAAAGTCAGTGCAAGGACATTGGATTTAATTTATCACATATGACTGACTGCGGCTATGTTATCTTGGAAATTAAATTGATAGTTCCATAGTACATAACTGAGTTTTGCTGAATGCTGAACAATAATGAGATCCATCTAACTGGCAAGGCCAATTTTGAGAAAATTATACATTTTGCATTTGAGCTACTAGTGCACATACTGTTATTCTTCCTGAAAACACCATCTATGCAGATTCATTTATGGAGAGGACCTCAACAAATTACTGAAAGCAAAATCCTTACAGCCATTTTTTAGAAAACTGACATTTTGTGTTCCTAGGTCTATCTAAAGAGCCTCAAATTTTGGAGCTCAAATGTTCAGATTCAGTGGGCACCACCAACCTAGGATGGATAAACTCTTTAATATCAAGTCTGAACAAAATCTGTTCAATCATTCAGGTGCTAGCAAGGCGCACATTCATATGTACGGAGAGACTGCATATCAAAAACCATTTTTTTTTGTGTTCAGTGGTGCTGAAAACATGTGAATCTGTCCAAATCTTGACATCAGTATTTTTCACCATGACAATACTTTGTGATATAGGCTAGGCATAAGAAATTGGGAGGGACGGAAGTGCCTCTATCTTGCAACACATTCACAGTGACTCTGAAGTACTTGCTTTTTTAATCATGGCACCAATGTACTGATCACACAAAGCAAAGGCAAATGCTTCCAGCATATATTTTTATATTAAAAAGAGTTATCACTAGAATAAGTGTAGGGACCTGCAGAAAGTCATATTCACATACTTCCACAGACCTTACACACTCAGGTAATTACTGACTTGCAGCCATTACCAGCCATCATGGCCAATGTATTTTCCAACAAACTGCAATGTAGTCATACAAAGAAACTAAATACCTCAAAACTGGCTTTGATAATCAAAATGTGTATGTATGATATAATTACCAAGCTGCCAACTTGTCTGTCACTTACCATAGTGCTGCAATTGTTCCCAGAATGCAATACTATTTTGTAGCTTACGTCTTCCCCCTGTGGAAGGGGTAAGGGACTGAGTCCCACTCTCATCTGACGTGTGACCAGGAAAACTATCGTAACCTCTAGTGTCAGTGCTATACATATCACATTCACTTAGTTCCTTCATGCTACTGCACTCTGGCCCAGTGGGTACCCTGTCTTCTTGTTCACCACTCTCCATGTCTTTGCTTCCATTGGAAGGAGTCATTTGAGTATCCCTATTTCTACTGGTGATAAATAACTCATAAGAACCACTGGACAAGTCTTCCATGCCATTAGAAGCGGTGATACCGGCTGTTGTGTGCAAGTTACGGTCTAAGTGGGAGGGCAGGTTCCGTCGCAAGCCCTCACGGAACTCTCGAGAGATGCTACGAGCTGTCAGGCTGTGTACCTGCACATAATAAAGTGAACTGCTTTAGGAGAATGACGGAGCACTAAATCATGAACGATGAATTGGGAAGGATATGTATGGATATGATAGTGGCCATTTTAAGGTACTATCCCAGCATGTACATGGAGGGAAATGATAAGAAGGACTCAAACCCAGAAATCCCAAAAGACGCTGTGTTAACACTAAGACTCCAGAATTAACTAACTCCATGGAGAAGAGCCCTTCTTGAGAAGCCATCAGTTGTGCAGCCACTCAAGAATTTTTCAGTATTTTGTGGAACCTGAACATTCATTACCATGTTCATAAGATCCCTCCACAATTAACACTGGATTTATTAACCCATCTTATCTTCTTACTTTTGAATGTCACATTACAAATTAATTGGTACAGATGAGGGGGGAGGACCCACGTTGATGACGTTGATGCAATGGGAAAAAGCAAAACTCTGGTCACCTCTTGCTCCTGTACACAAACTAGTGGCACTGCATAAGAATGCAATAGATGGGAAAATAATAATGTTCATAGTTACAGAAGAAACAAGTGCACTGACCATGTACATGATACAACAAGGCTACCAAGGTCATTAGAAATAAAATTTAAAAGGCATAAAGTATAGTAGTGGTAGCTGTGGCGGTGGGGGTGGGGTGGGGGTGGTGGTGGTTGTTGTAGTAGTAGTAGTAGTAGTAGTAGTAGGATATGGAGGAGATTAATACTGTTGCATATATGACAGTTCATATAGCAACAGGCGTGACCAGAGTGGTTTGAACGGCTGTTGTACTGCAATGTGGAAAGCAAATGGAAAACTACCACATTATCGCTTTTCCTGGATAGTCTCTTTCCAAAAACAGAGATACCATGTATGCAAGATGTTTCCTCTGGAGACAAAACAAACAGGAGGGGGGGCTAGAAGTGACCAGAAGACGAGGAAGAAGACGTAAGAAGATGCTGGATGACCTTGGGGACAGAACAGGACATTTTTATTTGAAGGAGAAAGCTTGTGATCGCATTAAGTGAAGGAACTGTTTTGGAAGAGACTGTGGACCTGTCGTCTGACAGACTACTGATGAATGAATGAATATAAGTGACTATAGACAGGGTTCATTTCTGTCAGGAAAAGACAGTGTTGTGGCCAACAGATATCCCCAGGAATTGCCACTCGCCAACTGATGCTATTGTATGATGTAATGACATGTGTGCAGAGCTATGAAAACGCTCATCACTTCGCTGAGAACAATGTCAGCTGTTGCTAACCTCTCGAATGGGCTGCTGCTGCTTCTCTCTCTCCAGGATTAGCACTTCCCGAGATATCTCCACCATCCTGCTGTGGTGAGGGTTTGGCACTGCCTGGGTAAACAAACAATAGAACTGTCATACACCTGGATTTTCTATCAAGGTAGGAACTTCAGATGGGCGAGAGAGACATGGGGCAGGGGGCAGTAAAGGAAGTTTTCAGTTATCAGTTTTCCCTTGAAGGGTCCAAGATGAAACCCCTTATCTTCCTCCTAAGGATGTATTTTTACAAGAGATTTATTCAAATAGAGTACAATTGTTTTCTAAATGCATACTTTGCAATCTCAGGGACCTTACTATCCTTGATTTCCATTTAGTGCAAATGCAAATGTGTCTAAGTTCACTGGAATGATGTTAATGCCCAGTGTCACAGAACTGCCAAGTTATGTTCTTATTTCACCCAGGGAGCAAACAGACAGGTGGAGACACATGCACCGCTTATTAGCCCTATGAGACCTTCCTTAAGTGATAGAGTTCATGGACTTGGAATCCTATTAAAATGCCCAACGTCTATAAAAGTTCAATTACTTTAACCATATCATTGCTCCTATCAGATAGTACCCTGGTCCTCTGTTTCGTATGATCAGAGCCACACCTCCAAGTGAGTACCCACTGAAAGACCTGACCTATATAAAATTCTCAAACCTCCCCAAAAAGATATCATTGAGTTACTGGTACAACTCCCAGAGTCACGAGACAGTAAACTATGGTCATGATAGCTGCAGGACCTGGAACCAAGAATGACTGTGCTGGCAAGGGCCAGAAGTAATTTAATCAAACCCAAAGACATTAACCGTGGGAATGGTAATTGCAGTGTTTGTCAGAATGTTGCATATTTCCAAAGGCCAAGGTCATACATAACAAAGGTCACGTCACACTTGCGAGGCAGTTCCCTGGCCTTTTGGTGTGAACCCCAAAGTTACCTCATTATTAATGCATGATGAGTTAAACATTCATCATATCAAGCCATGTGTGAAATTAACACTTTGCGGACCGGCAATTTAAATATTTAAATCACCCTGGCGACTGGCATTTTTTAACCCACTACCCTAACTTGTGCACTGTTCACTATAAAAATTAATATAAAATACCCTAATTAATTTTATGAACTAAAATTTTTGGAGAACACTTACCAATGCTTCTAGAAGTGCTTGAGACTGTGATATTTCTGGAAACATTCCCCTTCTACCTGCACTTTCGTCAGAGCTACTTTCGCTTATATTGTCTGTAGCCACAATTGTCTGTTGTCCTCTGCCACTGCCACTGTCAAATCACTATCACTACATGTCTCAGAAGGAATGTCAAATAGCTCATGTCAGATAGCACGTCGGAGAACAAGTCAGATATTGCTTGGTTTTCAACCGCTTCTGTCCTTGACTCATTGTGCAACTAACTTCCTGCCTGGTACATAAGAGCTTGAAGGGTCAAAGATAATTTTCCTTTGGAAGGGGTACCCAAACAGCGAGATCAAGTTACTGCCTACTAAGTAAACATTCCGGAATAATATTACGCAGTAGTCATTTTATTTGGGTGATGCCAGAGAAAGGTATGTGTTACAATCTATCGCGTCCTAAAGTCATAAAAATATGCCACAGGTCTGCCACATTTAAAAGCGCTGGGCATAAAAATATGCCACCAGTCCGCAAAGTGTTAAAGTTGAAGATTTTAACAATATTTTCATTTGTAAGATTTGAGGCTTTCACGGCGGTGACTATGAAGAAAGCAGTCTTCTGGGATTTGGCACCGTGTATATGTGGTGTTAACCGACGTTTCGGAGGAACGTATCGCCTCCATCTTCAGGGTNAGTTTTTTGAGAAACCAATTACAGATAAATTAGGACTCCATGTGACATGCATATAAAAAAGAAGAGTGGACAATCTTCATTAACTAACAAGACAGTTTCAATTCTTCTGATGGTTTGCTAAGTATAGCAGCAGCATTCATCATGTTTCTGTTTGCGCAAGTTCAATTGTCTGACAGTGAAGCTCCTTTTATGTGCCCCATAGTTGGAAAAAAGACATGTATAAACCTTTATCATATGTATGGCTATCTTGGACATTGTCCATCATTCTGAATTTTCTTTTAAACATGTTTCAGAAGCTGTATCTATTTCTGTTATTTCATGCGAGGCTGAGAGTAAATGAGACTAGGTCTTTCTGACGGACAGAACAAAGCATAAACCTGCAGATGGAATTAGCCATAGTTCCCTTCATGTTATATGGAAAACCTTAATATGAGGGAATAATATTCAAAATAACAGTCATGCTTATTGTAATATACCAATGTCAGAAACGTTTACACCGAGTCAAGCCTCTGCCATCTGTGAGTTCAAACACTTGGTACACTTGGGAAGGGGGGTACCAATATTAATATTGAAAAAGGGAAGTACTAGGCCAATAAAGGTTAAGAAGTCCTAATTGTGAAGATGAGGAGGTAAGTGCTACTGAACACTAGCAAATCAAATCTGACAACAATGTAATCGCAAAGTGATGGTCAGAAGAACAATAAATGTGAGAAAAAGCTTAGCAAAGTGGGAGGAGGGGTGATAATGCAATCTCTAGTTAATCTAGCACTGAACAATTACCTTCATAACAGAGGAATCTGAATTGGATGTTTGGCCTCCTGAAAAGTGTTTTGCCAGTTCTTTAACAGATGGCAGCACAACTGGCACATCTGAATCCAATTCCAGATCAGATGATACAGTGCTACAGTCACTTGGGGTCATGTAGCTTGAATTACTCCACTCCACTCCCTCAATGACCTTGTTTCTTGCACCCTGTATGTTTCTCCTGGAAGGTTTACTTTCCAATTCAGAGCTTCCTCTGTTCTGAGTATTACTAATAAGCTGGTTCTTTTGTGGCCGGGCATCAGGAAGCTTCCCTGTTGTTGCTGACTCCAGAGAACCACTGTGTTGCAACTTCTCTGTTGTTGCTGAATCCAGAGAACCAGTATGTTGCAACTTTCCTGTTGCCGCTGACTCTGCAGAACCACTGTGGTGAAACTTTCCTGTTGCTGCTGACTCTGCAGAACCACTATGTTGAAACTTTCCTGTTGCTGCTGACTCTGCAGAACCACTGTGTTGAAACTTTCCTGTTGCTGCTGACTCTGCAGAACTACTGTATTGCAACTTCCCTGTTCCCACTGACTCTACAGAACTACTGTGTTGCAACTTTCTTAGCCACTGTTGTTCTGACTGATCAATTTCTTTCTGCCATTTTGCAATCTCACTCTCAACATGACTGTGTGACTGGAAAATGTGCAAACAAAAACCACGTGTAAGATATGTTTCCAAAGCAGTGAACATTCACATTGTGTTCTTTTGGATTATGACACCATCTAGTTTGGTATATTGGTAAAGCTGATGCAAGCGACTCATAAATGCCATTCCATTCTATTTTATGTCAGTTTATACCCATCTACCAGAATACACAGTGTCACAACACAGAACATCACAAAATAAAACCTATGATTCATTATTACACTCGTATTATTTAATACTACTATTTGAACTGCAGATGTTATATAGCATACAATGAGATGGAAAGATGATCTCTTATTCACTTCTACATAATGTCTTGTTGATAATGAGGAAAAAACTGCTTACTTGCCATCCAGTAAGACTGATTTGATATTTCCCCCTTTTCATGACGATAACTGATAATACTTTGGACATAATTATAATGAGCTTATGCATTACAAAGGACTTTTCAACACAGCATAAAATGAGATTAAGTGACCTGTGTAATTACATAACATTATAAATTATTCAAACAAATTTCATTCCACTACTTCCAACAAAGTACAATGTTCAGGACAGGACACACACTTGACACACAGAGGAATGAGATACGTGACTGATTGTGATGAATAATTCTTGAATTGCTGTTCAAATGGGATTTCAGCAACAGCCAAAGGAGGTCTGAATGTTAAAAGACTGTGCTTCACATGTTGTACAGAAGACCTGTAGTCAAGGCAAAACCCTGGCCTTTTGAAACGTTCCTGTTTGTTGCAACAGGACTAAAGAGAAGGAATGCAATGCAAGATAGTAACTTCCTGAAGAATTTGAGGGTACATGGAGCATCATTACTTGGAGCCATACCAGGAAAATAATTTACAATGTGCACATTTTATTAAATGGGACTTAGAATAGAGACCTTTTTTTCTTTTTTTTCAAAATAAATGCCAAAGCCAGTTGATAAAGCAACAGGCATTACTCAAGACAATGAGCACAGGATTCTGTGGGAGGAAGAAAAGAATGACACAGGTGGCACCTCATTCAACATGCCAGCCCCCCTCAAAAAAAATTTGGAAACAAAACAGAAACAGGAAAGCATAAATCTGATAAATGTGCAATTTGTAGGGCAATTAGTGAATTTCATGTCACTGAGGATCAACATCTAACAAAGAGTGTTATTTTCATCTCTGAAGAATAAATCAAACTTCAAAAGAAATATGAGGGCTCTGTGTTCTGTCACTCATAAACCAAATACATGTTCTGGAAATGAGGTTATCCTATTGGAGAATATTAACATATATAGGCAGCAGAGGAAGCCAATAATTTGGAGTGATGAGGTGTACATACATGTTTCTCACACATAATACAGCCATTTCTAATTGTAAACAATCTATAATTTCTTGCCCTGAAAGGTGGATGGGGGGGTACATGGGCCAGTAGGTAAACAGACACACAGAATAATTGTGATACTAAAAGAATATAATTTACATTCCTTATTATTTGTTAGGAGCATCTTACTTTGTGCTAAACTATGGTTTCTGAGGGGGGGGGGGCATGCACTGTATCAAATATTTTAGGGGTGCTCACACTTTCCCTTGTCTCTGCTCCAACACTCCTGTATCTAGATGCTGAGCAGAGGATAATATTAATTATAATGTAAAGTTGGGGGTTGTATTTAACTGGCTCAGAAGGTCCAACAGTAGGTTCATGTGAAAATTGTGTTACAGTTTCAGTTTCCATAACAACAGGGAATTCTTGACAAGTGGGACAACTACCAACCAATGATCCCTCCAAGCTGCAAGTGTATCAGGCTGAGCACAGCCTATCACATTCCCATGCACGTTTATTGGGTTAGTATACAGTCAATTTGAATTAATAAAAATAAAACCGAAAAAAGTAAACTACAATTTTTTGTTATTTTAGGGAGCTTATACATTTTATGTCTGTTAAGGACATTTTTTGAAAATGGTCCTCATCATCCTGGTGGCCCCTACTGCTGATCAGAAAACAACGTGGTTTGTATGCTTGCTTCCCTGGCTTACAGAGAACGTTGCTACCCACTACTCAAGATTGAGCATGTACCATGGGGTTAGTTAAGTCATCACTTGGTATAACAGTGTCTGACTTTAGTTTCTGGGGTTTAACTGCTCACTATATGTTGATGCTGTTCCAGTGTTTTGATGTACACTGCACTTTCAGTCTTCAGGGTGAGTGTGCACAGAATTTTGGGCACTGCAGAATGCTGCTATGCAATGTGAAGGGACTCCCTCATGAAAGGAAAGGTTTGAAGTTAAAATATGACCTGGACTTTGATCAGATTGCATGCATCTTCATGACTAAAGTACTGGAGGACTCTTATTGCTACTGACGATTTAGGGATGGTAAGCATGGATGTTTCTCAGAATCAATGCTGTTTCTGAGTGCAGTGGAATGTTCTGCTACTGCTGACCACTGACATATACATGTCATGGTTCCAAAACAGAGGCGAATATGGAAAGAAAAAAGAACCTGACATACATTTTCAGTTACAATGGATCTTCCCAACAACCTCTGAGTATTGTACTAGAGCTTTCAGTTTCCCTGTTTAGGGATGAATGGCAAATAAGTTAACTAGAACATATTTGGAAGAAAGCAACCATTACATAATTGGGGTGATATCTTTGAGATCATTAAGAATCTCATTCAGGATAGGCGGTGTCCTGACCGAGATTTAAACCGTGCATCTCTGGAATACAAGTCTAGAATGTTAATACTACACTAGTCTGCTCAATTAGCAATGCTGTCTGTTCTTCCTGGGTTATAACAGATGTAAACCTTATGGTCTCACTAAGGCATACACCCAGACTTACTATTCCTGCATCATTATGGAAGCCATCAAAACAAAGGAACATCACCCCAAAACTTTAACCATGAAGGCAGGTACAAAGTGAGCAATGCCTTGTTTGACCTCTTTTCTTCCAATCACTTCTTCCCAATAAATAGCATCATGCTCCACAAAAAACATTCATACCCAATGAGAGACCTGCATATCAACTGATCTCCATTTTCCAACTCGCATTCACCCTGAAGATGTCAACTGCAATATTCGCTGAAAGGTTGGAATAGGTTCTACGTATGACACAACCAATCCACCACAACCAAAGCTAAACATCAGACACACACTGTGAAAACCCGAGGACAACAATTAGGACAGCAATATTGGAAATAGGGTTAGGGACATGTCAGGTCCCCCCAGTTCTGAGTTACATCATCTGATGGCATCCATACCTCAGTGACTTCCTTGGCACCATTTGTCTCTGCCTTCACGATCTGCTCTGTGTCCATCTGCTGGATCATAAAGCTGGCACATTTCTGGAACATGCAGAAACTCATTGGGATGATCATCGCAAAGTCACAATCCTACAGTGCTAACGCAAAGTGTCTAGTATCACAGCAGCATGTATGTTTTGCCAGGTGCACAGGTCACTGATCAGATGATAACTGGACTTGCTCAGACCACAGAATGTTTGAATGTACTTTCATAATCACACATTTAAGTACTGTCATAGGATGACCCTACATGACATACTATTATCGTGTGGCCACAGAGAGACATTCAATGGATTGTGCAGATAATGGCACTAAGGCTTCCCAATTTCTGCCTACTGTTAGATTCCCCTCAGCCCTCCTCTCACTCAAAGTGCTGTTACTAGCAAAGGTTATCACATTATTACCACTACCAACATTCATGTGAACAGAATGGCTAGACAACTGGAGAATATAAGGAGCATGCTGGAAGAGGAAATGCAACATCTGGAGGAAGATATGGAGGGTGAATTCATGGGGCTTCTTTCTGTGGCCTCAGTAGAGTAGAAGAGTTTTATGACATGTCATGTTATAAATATTCATCAGTTGCCAACATCACACCATATTCAATGCTACTGCTATGTTGTTGTGATCCATGTTACAGAGATTAACTAGTTTAAATTGATCACAGTTCTCTTGCACTTAGGGATGAATGACATCTATATTTCAAACAGTGGTGAGTTCCTGTGAACATGGTAATGAACATGTAAGTCCTGCAAAATGTGGAATTGTTGACTAGCTCAGCAACTATTAGTTGTTGAAGAAAAGACTCTGCTCTATGGAGTCACATGAGTTCATAAAATATACAATTTTTTCTGTTGTGGGCCAATTTATAAAAATATATCAGTCATATTTAAGCCTAAAGTATAGAAGGTGGAGTTATTAAACTATGATGAACTCAGAGAAAATTTCTGTGACAATTTTTGTGTAGGAACCAATACTACATTTCACAGAAATCTATTCAGTGATTTTTAGAGATGAAATGTGAAGACAGATGACATGCACTGTCAAACAGAGTTCTATCTTCTGTGATACAGCACTGTGTAGTCCCAGAAGATATTCCCCACTGAGAGAACCACCAGTCCAGAAGAAATATATTTCATTAGTTTTGTGCAGTGAATGAATATAACTGTTTTAAAAGTGTACTACATGTTGAGAATTATGGGATTTGATGCCATGCAGTCTGTTAGATGGTTCTCAATATGTTTGAGGAATGTGATGTCTCATTATCCTCACGTGACTCACTCATACCCTGAAGACTGAGACAGCAGGTTCATACAAAATACTGGTACTTATTTACCTGACAACATGTCATAAGGCACAAGACATCACTCTGGGATCCTCAAATTCAGCATGTTGTACACACATCAAAATTCTTAACTAGAAGATCATGACACATTGTTGCAACACAGTTCACAACAGACAAGGCCAACATGACAGTCCAACAGTGTATCTCTGAAAGCTTCTGTAGATGATAATTTTAATGTGGTAATAATCATGTGCTATTATGTTAGAAAACTCTTTATCTTAACCAAAGAGTGCATTTGTATTGTGATGTGGATAACAGATTTTATCAAAACATTACCAGGCAATGGCTAGGTAAACACCCTGCAATATGCACACGCAACAATAGGACAAATGTCATAGCTGGTTGCTAGGAAGCAGTCAGCATGCCAATGGACTGGTGAGATAGCAAACATGTGATTGTGATTCTGTGTGATCCGTGCAGTTGAGAGAATTGGCCTGGAGAGTTGAAGTCAGCCATGGGAAGTTTGTAGTGGAAGAAGAATTAGAAGTCAGCGTGTGAAGACTATGTGTGCTGTAGTACAGTGATATTGAGACTTTTATAGCTCCCGTGTAAAATCCATTGACAGGCAACGGATAGTGAATACATGGTCAAGGCTTAGCCACTGTTGAGACCTATTACCTAGCAATGACTAGTACAAGGGGTATAGAAGACTTTATTTGTGTGTTATAATTACAGTAATCTTGAGAGTGTTATAATTAATTGTAGTTATAACTGATGAATATCCAATAAATCGATTTGCCCATTCAATCCCACATCTATAGTGACTAATACATGTGAAAGTATGTTTCACGTGGTTCTCAATGTAAACAGCAATTATTTCATTATGCATTTAATGAATGGCACTTGCAGCGGAAATGACAGTTCTCTGTAATGTAGGAACCAAACCATTAGTCAGTGTTTTGATGACTCTGTCTTCAGGTTTCAACATACTAATCCACACCCTGTTGGCAGATGCCACAAAGCACTATGCGACACTAAAGCCCTCTGAGACATGGTGCCACACTGTGACGTGACATACCACACTTGTGACATGGCACACTACAAATCTAATGATGCATCCAAGTTCGTGATGTGCCATCTGGGAATATCTAACATTCCACTTTTCAACATAGCACATTACAATACTGTGATGCGTCATATTTTGCAGCATGGCACACTGCAGTGCTGTGACACTTAACACTTTGTGATGTGGTACATTACAGTATGCTGCCACGTAACACTTTGCAACATGGCACACTGCAGTGCTGTGACACTTAAAAGTTTGTGACATGGTACATTGCAGTATGCTGCCACGTAACACTTTGCAACATGGCACATAATAATATTGTGAGATAGCACACTGCAATGTCATGACATGTAACACTTTATGACAGGATACATTATATTACTGTGATGAACTTGTATATAAGGAACAACATACTCTAGATGTTAGTGTGCACATTATACTTTAAGTCAATTACTACCACTCCCAAAAAACTACTACTTGCAAAAGACAAGGTAACCAGGGTAATTAGAACCCCTGCTACTATGACATTGTTTGAAACAATGGTACTTGTACCGAAAGAATGAGACCCTAGGCCAGCTGGAACCATGCATGCATCATCATCATCACAGTGTGATGCATAAAAGATAAAGGCTGAAATGAGTTACACCAAGTAGAGTATGGTATTCTGAGTTGTAGTGCTGTGTAATTTCGAAAAATCCTTACATTTTTAGAGAAACATATTTCCTACATCTCCAGGGTTGAAAAGTAAGCCAGCTAAGAAACCAAGCAGAAGCATGTGGCAAGCTCAGTTTAGCTTGCTCCCTCCTTCTGAGCTTTCCTGCTTGGACTACTTTTCGACCTTGAAGATAGAGTCAGTATGTTCCACTGAAATGTCAGCCCCTCCCGGAAGTACATGGTGTTACAACCCAGAAGGCCATACCCTTCATAGTCAATGGTGTGAGAACCTCCAATCCAACAGAGTTAGACCAAGTTTTTAGCTTTAATATACTTCAAGAATTTCAGCTCCATGCTTAATTATCCACAGTGGCACCACTACCAAATTATCTTTACTGTTTGTTAGACAGTCTCATTACTTAGTACACAAACATGCTGAATTACATTGCAACTAAAATGTCACTAACAAAATGAATACAGTCACAAGTTATACCCATGACAAACAACTTATGCTTCAACAGTCATTGTCACTGTGTAAGCAGCAAGTAATTACATATTTTATTTTAAACATAAATTCAACTAAAAGTAATTTAAAAAGTTTACATTTCTATGTAAACTCCACTCAACCGTTTCTTTCCTCTGAACTTCTGAACAGTCTGCATCTCCCCCATGTCTTTTCCAACTCAGAGCTCAAAACCACTGTTTCACTTCTCATATCACCACTGGAGGTGACACTGTGCCATTAAACTTTTAAAACACAAAGAAACTATATATATCACCGCCTTCAACACTAATTTTGTCCACATGGTGAATTTACATGCTTCATACGATTCTCATAACAAACAGCATTATCTAGTTGGCCTCTGTAATGGAGACACTGTGTGTTCTCTGTGTGGTACAAAATTATTTTACATATATATTATTTAGATGAACTTCAGGCATCTTGGCATTCACCATGGAAGGACTCAGGAAAACTTCAGTTATAACGGGAGGTACATGGACGACAGTCAAATGGGGAGGTTCATAAAGTGCATTACTGCAGAAGTGACCTATTTTGTAAACTAAAAAGCATAGTAACATCTCTGAAAAAGCAACAGTCCAGAGCAACTTGTGAGCAGCACATTGTGAGAATGCAAAATTATAAGGTGCTGCTTTTAAGTTATCACATGGACACAGCTCTCACATCATCAGTTCATAACAGTTTACAAGCTGCTCATCAGTCTTGAGCCCCTTTCATCTGAAGTCATTAACAACTTGATGTACGAACATTCAATTAACAGATTTAAACATTAACCCTTTTACAAACAGTGGTAACTTATGTATAAACTGCTTTAGTACTAAAAATTTTTGCATTTTACCCACATAGGCTATTTATGTGTTTTGTATAACTATCACAATAATCACTGGGTGCTTCCCAAAATAGCACTAACCAGCTGGTTTTAGCAATGGAGACAGTGTGTTTACTGTAAGGCAGGAAATTCATTTGTATATATTATCTAGATTATGATTTTCGGCACACAGGTCATATGCACTGCTCCAGTTGGTATTTTAACGTCTGAAATAGTATGCTCACATCCAAAAATATGTCTCAATGCTTTCTATTTCATTAAAAAATTATGAAAAATCTTGCCAAAAAAGTGCTTACTATCTACCCTTGTAAAAGAGAACTTACATCCACAGTGCTCATGCTGAAACCAATTCAGAGTGGATGTTTCCTGTTTATTTTAGAAATAAATTCACTGAATTTTTATAATTTTGGTATCCAATGTAATATTAAAACTAAGGAATGTTTTATAACCTCACAGATCCATTTTCTACTTGTGTGCTTCATATATCTGATTACTGCAGGGCAGATATTTGTATTGTGATACTGACAAATATATTTTTATAATGTGGCCTGTGAGTAGGTACCTATGGTACAATACAGCCTCTCACTGGTTGATGTTGGATGGCCCTGATTTAGGTAAACCTCATGTTTCAGAGGATTAAATTATTTTCAATGAATAATACAATAAATGTTTGAAAGCTGAATGTATTATGTGAACACAAGACAAACATGGACACATCAAACAAGAAACAAATATTATACATTCATGCAAACACATCATCAGCAAAGCAAGACAAGAACAGGGCAATCTCTAAACTGTTGCCAAATAAAGGTGTTTCAACATATGGTTCATAGCTTTTTACAAAACTGTATATTGGTATCATAGACATGGTAATGAAATTAATAACCTGATACTCCTGAGGCCAAATTAGAATTCTTTATGTCAAGCAAAACCCTTTCTTCACATAGTCTGTACAAGCCTGAAGCATGCATCTGTCTGATGAAATATGTTGAACTCTAGAATTTTATCTCAGTCTGTGTCATGTCCATTTTGTTGGTGACAATGTTACAACTACAAGCCAAAACCAGCTCAGTGTTTACTTACCAACTGCAGATAACAAAACACTACCATGCTGCAACCGACATAAAGATAGCTGCTGTGGGATCAAGATGTCTTGTGAATCAGTACTCAATCCAATTCAAGAAACAGTCTTTACAGAGTGAAGTAACATAGACTAATTTGAAAAGAACTGGGCTCATTTCAGTATCCTTATGAACCCAGTGGTTGGGGTAAAACCCTGAGATTGTGACAGCAGAGATATAAAAAAAGAAACAAAGTTTATACAGGTCAGAAATAAGATAACTAATTTGTGTGCATCATGTCTCTAATGAATGTGCAGACATTGGTACACATATGTACATTCGGTAACTACACTTTAATTAGCACATATTTTCATTCTTGGCTTTTCGAGACACACATGCACCGTGTAAACCCAGTTTGTCACTACAGTCTTTGCATTTTCAATTTACAAATAAATAAGAAATTCAGGAAATGTACATATAGTGTAACAATTATTGTATATTTTATCTATTACATTTAGTTACCTTGAAAACCATAAGACTTAATAGAAAAAAATGTATAGGACATAAAATATGTGCTTCATTTTCTCTACAATTTATGTTTAAAACATTTTTTCCCTCCAACAAATATTTAAGAACACATGCATAAAAACTCATGTACAGAGTGTTTCGCTAAGGCGGAAACATGCTTCTTGTGATAATGCAGTGGAAATTTATTGTGTGACCATAGAGGGGACAGTGCAAAGTGTTTCAATGCCTGCAGCACTGACTCTCTTTGCTTAAACAGAATTTCATATTAATTGTTGTAAAAAGGCTGCTCACAGTGCTTAAACAAGTTTGAATCACATTTTCATTCTGAAGTTCTTAAGTCAATGATTCACCATGCACATGCAGTACACCAGCTTTTTAATATTCATAGAGCAGCACACCAATATGACTACTAAGATAATGCCTCATTTATGAACAGCAGCTGGAGATCCACAACACATTCTGTGGAAACAACTTGCAACGATAACTCCTGCTGCATAAGCTGGCGGTTCAAGCTCATGCACGGTCATTTTATACAGACTAGTCTCGTGGCTGTGAATGCAGGCTCCAATGAAACACAACTTTTTTATGTTAAGAATCCAAAAAATTTGCCAGGATCGATCTCTGATGTTGCCTGAATGTTTCAGACTTTTTATTCAGTTACCACATTCTTCCTGGATTGTTTCTTCTTGTCACCAACTGAACCAATAGTTCACCACTGTTTGGTAAGCTTCGTTACGCCCTATTCTGCAGGAACTCATTCTTGTGGTTATTTAGGGAGGATGGTTCAAATGTGCTTTCTGTGAGATGTGACGAAGAAAATTTACAGTTAAATCATATACTCAATGCAAGAATTACAGAATCAGAACTCAAGCAGAACTTTCACATGCTACCATACTAATCACACTGTTGCCACATGATAGTGACAACACAAAGAGTTTGGGTCAGAAATGTATTTGGTACAATCTCCTCTTATTTGTAACTGTTCACAGGACCTCACAATCATTTTCTATTAGCCACTTGACTCCTTGGTTCTCCATCGTTGCAGACTCTGCTGGTACTCACCAGCAAATTCATCCTCAGTTCCAGGTTCTGTGGGACTTATGACCACATACTTTATAGAGCCCTGCAGTTGACTGCCTAGGCAATGTTGCCTCAGATATGTCCCCTCTCCCATCGTTGCACATGTGTTCGCTGCTGGTGATATGTGTTTACCATAATAATACCTAGCAATGGACATCCTTGTGATATTACTGCAATTCTAACACTTTGATGCTACTGGATTTCAGACACTGTTTCTTGACTGTGAAATGTGTCACCTTTATATTGGGAAGTTGCTTACCAATCACAGACAAAACATTTGACTGAATTCATTGATATACACCCATCACACAAAACAATGGGTAATAACACTTAACATCACACTCGCATTTTTATTTCCACTATATATTTTGGTTCTACTGACACATCTTCAGGTAGACTATCAACGCGTAACTTCCAATCATAAGTGCTAGTTTTGCAGTAGGTTAATTGATACTATCTAGTGTTGGATCCATCACTGAATTTATAATATACTGAGAGTGTTATATATTTGATGATTGTAAGATAACAGCCGAAGTAGAAAAATAGTTTTGTAGTTGTCTTGCTTACTGATTTGGTAAAAGCAGAATTTTTCCACAGTATTTATGTTATGTCCTTTATTTATACTGTTTAAACTCTTCAACTGGACATTTTAGAGGACCCATCTTAAAAATATGTGGGGCATAACTAGATTTGGTTCTATTGGATCCAATCTGAGAGAGAGGCTCTCGATTGTGCAACATGAAAAGAAGAGTAAAAGGTTTTGATCAACACTTTCCAGCTTGTCATATACAACACCACCACCTTGTTACTCAGTTTAGTACTGCTAAGAACAAGAAATACATTTCCGAAGTGCGCAGAACTACCTCTTAAAATTTCATACAGTAGCATAAAACAACAAAGAAGTTATGCAAATTTTAAAATGTTATATTACCCCCACACACTTAGGGCAGTAGATCAGAAACACCTGGAAAGCTTCAAAATGTGGTGCTGAGAAGGATGGAGAACATCAGTTGGACCGATTATGTGAGAAATGAAGAAGTGTTATTTAGAGTCAGTGAGCAGAGGAATATCCTACACGAAATAAGAAAACGGAAGGCTAATTGGATTGGTCATATCGTACGCAGTAACTGCCTTCTAAAAGAAGTTATTGAAGGAAAGATTAAGGGGCGGATAGAAGTGACCAGAAGACAAGGAAGATGTAAGAAGATGCTGGATGACCTTGGGGACAGAAGAGGATATTCTCATTTGATGAAGAAAGCTCTAGATCGCATTAAGTGGAGGAAATGTTTTGGAAGAGACTGTGGACCTGTCATCTTGACAGATTACTGATGAATGAATGAATTACCCCCACCCAAAAAAACTGCTCTTTACACTTTATTGAAGCTCTTTATTATGATTTGGTTTAATTTTAATTTTTTTAGGATATATTGCTTGCCCCTGAGGATTTATTTGTAATTAATTTCTACTGTTTATTTTCTGTGGACATGGGGTACATACTCATCCTGCTCATTAAAACATTTTCTGCCAATTTCTTGCCATAAAGATGGCATTATTTGTTTGGAATGTTTATCTCTCTGTAGTGTGACAGACCAAACATTGCTCTGATAGTTAGTTCTCACGTGTAATGTATGATGACAGTAGACTGCCTTCATTTGTCTAGACCTGGTATAAGGCTTGTAATAAGACAGTTACAGAGTGCGGTATATTGTAAGTATATTTTGGAAAGGACTGCTGAAGTAAGAGCTCAAATTGCTAGTTCTTCAGTTTGCTGATATTGCTGATCATTATTTTGGAAGTAATTCTTGGATTTATAATCTATATTAATATAATTATTCCTTTTTTTAGTTGGTGTTTGGTTATAATTGGTTAGAATGTAATTAATTATGTCAGAATAACAAACTACTACAAATGTAGCATTGTGTATTGATTATCACGTCAGAGTTGCCCCACAGAATACATCAGGCAGAATTACACTGAAGGAACAAATACATGTAAAAAGACATACCATAACCAACTCTAGCTTCAGAGCATATTTTGGACACAGGCTCTTCTTATGGTCCACTTGAAAATACACTTCAAATTTTACACAAAATAAATAAAGGTAATAACATAGATACTTCCACATTCTGCAATTACAAACTCAGAAAATAAGACATACAACTGAGAAATATATATGCTGATAAAAACAATCAAACTTTTAATGTAATTCTGAACCCGGCCAATCAGCCTACATAGCTCCATTTATCATAAACCTTCCACAGAAACATCAGCCATTCATATATCATCCAATCAAGACACAAAGCGATCCAGAACATCCACAGCCATTAAGCTGTCATTTATTATTCAACTAAATGTGTAACAAATGGATAGTTCGACACATTATGTTCTATTTTCGATTTGCATTCTATAATTTCAAATATATGTAAAAAAACACAGCCCTCCAGCCCTGCCACAGAAACAGATGATTCAATGATACACTGTGTACCTAGCAGAAGTCCCACTATTCTACAAAATACACCCAAAGATTAGCAGTAAAGCAATTAAGGTACTGAGTATGCAGGACACACCAAAATGAATTCCTATAAAACATCACCATAATGCCACAGATTCTTCAAATTTCATCGGTTTTCCGTTTTAAAACTTGTAAGGATTTGAAGAAATATTACTCTTTTTCACCTCTTTACACACAAACAAAGTCATTTAATAATTATGTTCCTCCAATTCGCTACAGAAACTTCAATTGTAAGCTTCTTTCCTACATGAATTCTGATGTTATAATCATCAAATACATGAAGACTCTCACTAATATGCTTAGCAATAGATCCAACACTTGACTATATCAATTAACCCATATTAAAAGCAGCTATTACCCTTATGGGCTGTCCTCCAGCTGATGGTGCATTAGAAATGAGACATGTAGCGGCAATAAAACAAAACCAACAAGGTGCAAGTTATAACAAATTCTTTTGTGCGATGTGTGCATACCGATAAAGTCTGTCAGATTATACACAGATAGGATGCAACTGACAAAAACAAAGGTACACAAAAAAATACTGCATGCTCTGTTCCCAATGTTGTTACAATTTCTTGCTGGTAATGTCAATATGTAGAAAATATTGAGTGAAGAAAATTCTCATGCCATTACGAAGTGTGAAAGAAATGGTGTGATGTTCTGTAAATTATTTTATTCAGAACTTCGGAATCAAAATGAGTTGCAAAACTCATTTACACACTGTGAGGTGTGCTTGAAAGCAGAAGGAGATTATTTCTAGAAGTTCTTATATAATATGGTAAGTCTCTGTTGCTTTCTTACTGTAATCAGTAATGTGGCCATGCTGAAAGCTGTTGCTTCCTCTGTGGTCATGCAATGAATTACTACTGGAATTTTATCTCAAGCATCACATTTCCATCCCAATGGGAGTTACTGTATTTCTGACTTAACCAAAACTGGATGTATAGACAAATTTCAGTGGAAGTCCTCAATATGAAATATGACGAAAATCTTGTCAGTGTTTATAAAGTTACATGCCAAATGATGACAAGACAGACAAATAACAGGGGCACTTCAATACTTTTCATTGTGACTGTGGCAAAAGAAAAAATGGATCAACAATGCTTGCTGCAGCCATGCTAACAGACACAACTCTTAATAATGGAAAGGCACGTGAAATTTTTACTACAGGAATCATATGATAAAGCCTCAAGATTATGATAAATCAGATCTTACATAGCTAGTTTAATTATGTTTGTTTAAATTATAAAAATGTAATAAGGGCCTGACTGAAGGCAGGAAATCTCATGAATTAGAGAAGTAACTAACTTTTCTACATTGTCAATTCTAATGAATGCCAAATAACTCAAAAGCTTAATTTCTTCCAGTCCCTCTCCTCAGAAGAGAAGCAGCAATTTAAGTTGAAAAATACTGTCTCCGAGTACCCACCATTAAAACTTTCCATTCAGGTGTCTGATTTTCATAAATCTCTATGGAACAGTCATGATTCTGAATGTCAACCATGATGTGTTCTGGCACAATACCGGTGGCAGTAATGTAAGTTTTTGGCACATGAACAGAAACAGAAATGATAAGAGGAAATAAAGAAACAAGAAACTGATCTTAAATTTTCTGATAAGCCATTGTAACTTGACACATTACATTTCTATATTATAGGATTCATAACATATTTCATGTGGTGCATTCGGTAGCGTAGTTGGTTGAGGCATTATGCTACAAGCCGGAAGGTCGCGGGTTGAAGCCCCGATGAGGTCATTAGATTTTTTTCAATTGACCTAATCATTCCAGTTGCAATATGGCCCTGGGGTTGACTGAGCCTCTAACAGAAATAAGTAACAGGAATTAATTAAATAATTTTCCTGGGGAGTAAAGCGCAGTCGGCGCATAAGGCTGACAACCTTATCACCATCTTTCAGCCTATTGCCTAGATAATGTAGGACCCTCAATGTCTCACAACCCTACGTGCCTTCATGGCCTGTTACAGGGACAGCTTTACTTTTATTACATATTTCATGTACAAAATACTGACATGAAAACAGAAAAATTGTCTGAGGTTATGTATGCCAAAGATATGAAAATCAGTTTAAGTCTAGAAGGGAGCATGTTACTTGGGCTGTAACAAGATGAACATGTGTGTGATGTTGTGCAACCCAGCCAATGGACCTCACAGTCCGTGCCTGTCTACAAACTCTATATATCTGTCTGTGACACTCTGCAACTCCTGAACAGTTTAATGGATTCTGAATGACATATTACTAAGGCCCGATGTTAAAAAATGATTACAATTAATACTTTGCTGGACATTATGCATCATCTTGTCTATTCTAAAAAACAGTCTAATTTCTATCAAAAAANTTGAACATTAGCACATATTCCATTTTCTTTATTTACTTTACTGAAGTATGTTCCTAGCTTCAGAATTATATACTGGAAGTTAGTACTCCTCTTTAACCCTTTGCAGCCCAATGGTACCTATATCTGCCACCCCCTTTAACATTAAAAGTTTTGAATTTTGCCCACACAATGTACTGATGTGTTTCATATGATTCTCAGTATAAATAGTGATTATTTCCTAAAACATTTATTAATTTATTTGTTCTTAAAGACTACTGTCAGCAGCTTAGAATACAAAGCATAAACAAAATTGGAAGATGAGCAAATCATAAATTGGAAAGGACTTGGTAGGAAATGGTCTTGGCCAGACTGACATAGTATCCTGCTATTCACCTGGAGAGACTCAGAAAAACCATGAAAAACCTCAGGCGGGATTGTCAGTCTCTGAGCTGAGATTTGAAACCAGGCACTCCCTGAATGCAAGTCAAAGTGTTACTGCTTGAGCTTCGATAAACAGGATTAACTGGTCTTTTTAGAGCACAAGAGACACTATTTGCTTTATCCATGAGGTAGGTACTTGAGTTCCAAATATTATTTGGATGTCTTCATTCAGTTAATACAACAAATATTTATACACCATTTATTTTCATTAAAATTATTCACTGAAATCAACAAACTGTCACCTGTCATGATACAATTTAATCTTAAAAATTACAGTTATGAGCCACAAACTATGGGAATCTTCTGTTAATACTCTTCAATAAAATATGCACCATAATATTTGCAAGGAAGGAAACTTTCATTAATTACATTTCTACACTCATCTTCTTAAGCATATACCATATTTAAAAACGTTTATGCTTAAAGTTATAGTAGATATGAGAGAAATATTTTACATGCAAAGTACAAAGTTAGAGTTTAATGCACCATATCTGAAAAATTTTGGCAGGAACTGAGTTCCAATAATGTTTACATTTATATCATTAGATATTCACTAGATCTAGAAATATTTCATACAGAATTCAGCAGCCAGATCTTTATGCCATGCACATATTCATGCTTATGCATTCGGTTACACTCTTTTGTTTACATCTTAGTACTACTGCAAGATGGCAACAGATACACAAATTCTAAAATTATTATGGGCCTGTAATTTTAAAGGACAACCACAAGGAATGCCTTCCCACTAGGGTATTTCATTATTATACTTTCACAGGGCACCAAATACATTAATGCATTTTGCTTTTCAATTGTGACATTTTCTGAATTACGAATTAGAAACAAAGCTTTCTGAAAACATAATTTTTTAAAGAGGTAGAGAGAATGAACAGCTACATAGTTTTACCATGCATTAATTTATTTACAATTTATTTTACAATGCTTTCAGTAGCTCAAGCTATACAGAGTCAAATGATTGGATGAATAATGAATTGGAAAGGATACAGAAGGAAGAGGTCATGGCCAAATTTGAGGTAGTATCCCAACATTTGCCTGGAGGGACTGAGAAAAACTACAAAAAAAACCTTAGTCAGAAAAGCTGGTCTCCAGGATAAGATCTGAACCCTGAACCTTCCAAATACAAGCAAGACTGGTAACCACTTGACCATGAAGTTTGGTCTGGCCATGCACAAAGAATGGGTAGAAAAGTGATACTAAAAAGGGCATTAGAATTAAAGTGTGAAGGAAAGGTGCCTTTGGGATGATGCAGTTCAAGAGGGTTGGGCCACGTGCTGAAGATATCAAGATGGGAGGAAAGAGATGGCAAGAAATTGTAAACATTTGAGACCTTTCACTCACAGGCCCACAGAGAAATGGCAATTATGCTAGGACAGGGAGGAAGAGGGACACTAACATGAAGCTAGAGGAATGACAGACATATGTTGACCCATGGACGAGATACAACACTCAAGGCGAAGAAGATGTGTGAGTGGCAAAGGGGAGTAGAAGGGAAGCAGAGGGTGAGGGATAGAAAGCAATGCTCATAATGTTCGTGATCCCCAATAGGCCAGTAGATTGTAGATTGTAGATTTCTGAGCAGCCCAGTAAGCTCACTTGTCTGTGTTTCATTTCCAATATATAAATTTTGGAGAAACAATATGAAGTTGCTTTGAAATTAAAAAATATCAGAAGACACAAGTGAGTTCCAGGCAACAAGACAGCAGCTGATCTGAAGGAACTGGAAAGTTTGACATGTGACTGAATTCTAGGCAATGTCTGCAGTAAACGAATTTATTCCAAGAATTTGTTCACAGAGTTTCATGCAGCCAATGTCAGGCAAACATTTGTTAAACTTTGCCAATGTGGCAGCCATGAATAACCTTTTCATTGCATTAAACAGATATGTGATGAGTACTGATGCAGTTTTAAGGAATATGACAGATCAACAGTAGCACTGACATGCCCAAGTGCTTCTGGAAAACAGTGAAATGGTTAAGAACATGGTGACATCTTCAGGCAGACAGTAGAAAAGGCCAGAAGCACAGGCCTTTATTTGTGATCAGATGACACCCTATCAGCTCAAAATTTTCAGATATATGCCCAAGAAAGAGATAAGTTAATCAGATACAATTGGCACTGGTTTGAATTCCTTACAGCTAGAGGTACTAGCAAAGCTACGTCCCACTGTACCAAAAACATAAAATGACATATGTCATGTCTGCACATAAAAGGATGCATACAAAACTTGGCTCAGCTGGATGCTGAGACCTCGAATGAGGACAAACTGGCTGGTCAGGTCTTTTGGATACCTTGAGGTCAGTCAGAATGATGATTGGCATGGTAAAGTAAAGTGATAACTGAGTGACGCTTTATGCACCATAAATCCAGTGCAGCACTGTTAGTCACAAGTCAGTGCAAAGATGTGCATGCGACAGCAGGTTTCATGGCTGTGATCTTGTGGGATAAAACACTGTGCAGTTTTGTGGATGGCTTACAGCAAAGCGCACAGTGACACATCAAATATGACTGCAGTCTGCGGATTTGTCTGCATGTGTACAATGATCTCCTCCCTCCCCATTTAAGTTTTCTCTGGGTAGCAGTGAATCTAAACACAGAACTGAGGAAAATCTTATATGCAGGAAATTTAACAATGATAATGAATAATAAAAGCAGGAAAACCTTAACTCAAAGAATATTAAGTGTGGGTTCAACTAATGCACTGATTTAAGATTTCAGTGGTCTATTTATTTTTAACTTGGATGACTTCCAACCATTGCTCCAGACAACATAGCTGCAAATCTCTCTTTCACGCCACATTTTTCGAGAATGATTCTTTACTTTTTCATATGTGTAGTATGTCTACTGTCATCATGAAAAATCAGTTGAGACTCTGAGGGATTTGCATGTTTTTAGGACCCCTGAATACAAAGAAGTAGTTTCTGGAAGACCATCTGTGTGCCTCACTAGTCCCAAAACAGTTGGACAGACTTTAAATATATTCAGTATTTAAGAGTCTAACCATCATACGTCAGCACCTGGTGAATACGAACGTTTTAGTTCCAAAAGTAGGGGCCCTTCACAGGGGCCGCTGAACACAAAATTACAATTTACTCAAAACAGCTGAAATGACTGTGATTAAATTTCAGAAGTTTATGGAGACCATCTCCCTAAACAAAACTGCATAAGTGTTATCTTCAGGAAAATAATGGTACACCTCTAGTGGCCAAATTGTGGAACATCAACTTTCTGGAAAATGGGAAGACTGTGATCTGTCAAGCATGTATGAGAAAATGTGTGCCATGTATTTGCACTGTTTCTTTTAATATTGTGACAATACATAACCTGAGAGGGTTGCCACACAACATAAATACCCAACTGTGAAAGGGCTAATGTGATGTTCAACCTGATGATGTAAACTGAAGGTACGGTCTGACAACTTATCTTAAATCACATTATGTTTTCAGTCTTTATGAACCTTCTGTAGATCAGCCTGCAAGTACCTGCATACTGCTACAGTGAGAGACATATGATATTTTTGTGCTTGTATTTCTCATGAATTTAAATACACCATCACAAACTTCTGGAGGTGTACCCTCTCCAACATTATTTACTGCATGACTACGTAGTGGCTACTACTATTTTCAACACATATAAGCCTGGAATAAAAAAATTGTTCCTCACAAATTTTAGACACAAAACATTACACATTTCTAAGAAAACAATGTCTACTCTTCTATTGGAAATCAGTACCAACAAACTCTCTAGACCAAGGGAACAGCATTCAGCATATCACATTACAGGAAAACATTATGCACATGTGCATGTGAACAATGTGACCTGTTTCAGATAAGTGTACAGTGATCATGGCAGTGTGACTCAAATAAGTAAACTATGTTCTGGCAATTCAGCTCCTGATAACTGTCAACTGATGCTCTGTAACTATCTGATTCTCTGCAAGAGACGTTTAACTCATCTATACAAAAGAGTAAGAGATAGTTGCATGGACACCAATCACAACTCAAAAAGTTTACCTGGAAAACTAATTTCCCTTTCAGCATCTGCATGTTAGCTTTTAGAGTTCTGGCAATTTCACTCAACTATGATCTGTACAGCTCTGGATGGAACATTTGCTAATGAGCTTCTGCAGTGCTCCGTGCTGACAGATGCAGTTCAGTAAGTACTGTTTATCTGATGGTGTCCTGACCAGATTATTTCTGTCAGGCTCATTGGATCATTTTAAATCTTCTTAAGTCACCAGATATCAGTATGATACCAGAAAAAGATGATCTGTTTCTGGTGATCACAATATTCATTGAGGTAGCAAATTTTCAAAAGATTTCCCTCCATGTAAAGGACACCTATATTCAGTCCCTTGGTATGATATTCTGTCTCTGTATAGGACAGAAATCTGTACAGAACAGTGTCACTTGGAGAAGAAACTCAGGAAATATATTGGAAATAATTTCATACCCTAGAAGTTGAGTGTGTTCATTCCCAAGAAGTGAAGAGATTCTGTTTAATCCTATGACAGGACATAACATATATATAAAATCATTAAAACACATTCACTGCCAATCCTGTCACTTCGTGGGTTGACACATGCTGCATTCCTGTGGAAATTCTGTTAAGTGATAGGCTATTACCAATGGGTATGTAAATGCAAGAACCTTTAGTGCGGCTTGTCAGAGTTTGAAAGCGCTGAAACATAAAGTGACTTGATATCTTTTATTTGTCCTGTTTTATTTCAAGTAAGTTACAAATCTGGTTTTCATGGTAAAATGGCAGACCTGCAGATAAATTCCCAGAATGAGGGCATGGAAATGAATGCATTTTAGATTCAGAGTTCTTTGTTCTCAAATGACAGCTAACAATAAGCCACTCCCTCTTTTACTTTTCAAAACCAAGTGTTTCAAAAAACCTATCAAAACACTTTTGGCCTTTCTCCCACAAAGAGCACCACTATGTTACAACACTGGATGAGACACTGCATGTTGTTGTTTCATGCTCTTGTCATCTTTACTTCCAGAGGTTCCATCTGGCAGTATTTGTGACCCTGAAAAGTTACTCTACCCTCAACTGAAGCTAAACCATACAAATGACAACATAATGATAGCTCTCGTCACAGGAGCAGTAATTGTGCACCATTTTGCATCTTGTGTTTACGTTTCACCTTAAGACTGCCCCCCATCTCTAATGTCACTTCCGGTTTTCTCCTATTGTTCATCAAGCTCTCTGAGCGATGCAGACTTGCTAGAGATTCAAATGATCGCTCAACCATCTGCGGCTTTGATGGAGGAAGGAGTCGCAGCAAGTGAACAGGGGGGTCTGCTATGGAATCCAACAAGCTACTATAGCCTGACTCTTGCCCTAGCTTCGTGGGCTGCAACGTTTGGTCTTCGACTCTTGGACCTGCATCCCCATCCCTTACAGACATCCCCTCAACAGCAGATACTGTATCTAGTTCCCCAACCACATCATCAGTCTGCAGTACTTCACTTTGCACTGGCTCAAACAGAGGGTTCACAGTGAAGTTCAGAGAAGCATCATTACATGCCCTGAATGAGTTACGGTAAATGTTACGATGTAATGCTTGTTGCTCAATGTCGAGTAGATTGCTGGGGTCACATACCTGTTGCAGCAAAGGGGAAGTCACCCTAGAAGAGGAGCGTATCTCACCTGAGGCCATTCTGGAGTGGTTTATGTAATAGTCACGTCCATACCTGCAATAAACAGACTGGCTTATTTAGCTGGACAAACAAATGCCTGTTCATCACCATCACAATAAAATCCACCACTGGAACCTATCCTGCACTGCTTCAGTCCAGTTATGTCAGTACAACTGTTTCCCTAAGAACTACTCTTGGAGTATTTTAACATCTCTATCTTGACTAAAGATTCCCAGCCTCTCCTTTGCACCATGTGAGCTGCATGATGAGCCACCAAACTTTGCACACATAAGAACTCTATTAAAGCTACATGGTGAGCCATGCAGTAGCATAGTTGATTGAAGCACTATGCTACAAGCTGGAAGGTTGTGGGTTTGATTCCTGACAAGGTCATTAGATTTTTTCAATTGACCTAATCCTTCTAGCTGCACTATGGCCCTGGGGTTGACTCAGCCTCTAACAAAAAGGAGTACCAGGAATTTTCCTGGGGGTTAAGGGCGGACGGAGCGTAAGGTTGACCTCACTGCCATCCATGAGCTGACTGTCTAGAAAATGTGACAGCCTCACTGTCTCACAACCTGATAGGTCTCCATGGCCTGTTACAGGTATAGAATCAGGGTTTGATTTCTGGGGAATGGTACATTTTCTCTTCACCAGAATATCCAACCTCACTATGGGGCCCACCCAACCTCCCATCCAATAGGTACTGGGAGCTCTTTCCCTGGTCATGAAGTAACTGTGGCATGGCAATAACTGCTCCTCACCAAGATGAAGAAAGACTGGAGCTGTACCTTCAAAGACAACAACAGTTCTTTGTGACTGCAGTTCCAACCCCCTATGTTTAAAAGTTGCAGAGCTATATAATACTACATACTCCTCACATGATTTGCACTCCTCTGAACAAATATTTTTTAGAAGTTTATTTTTTCACAAGCAAGGAACATGTTTCACAACTATGGACAAAATTGTTCCATGGGTTCAACCTCCAGTAATTTTGACAAAAGATGCGATACTTAATCATCTTCATTAATTACATTTACATATTTAACTTGTCCTAATGCCTTTTGAAATTTCAAAACAAAGCTTTATGTCAGCATTTAGCATGAAATCTGTGTTCTCCATGACCACAAGCTCACATTAAACTGGCTCTATTTCCATCATGTAAAAGGGTAAGAAAGTATCTACTCATTTGGGTCTGAACTGAGTTAATCTCTATCACTGGATGTCACATGTAAGTCCAGCCTCTGGAACACTGTATTCCTTCTGAATACTAGACAAAAGACAAAGACCAGAAACTCAGTAATCCCAAATGTAATACAGTATTGTCAGAACACTTCAGAATTGACCCACCTCTTATAGTCCAGTTCACCAGAAGCACAGATGACTTTAAGGGGTGATGTACCCTGTGTTGCCTCCAATTCAGGGAAGTCACTGCAATTCACAAAAACAGTAATGATGTTTACTGGTACACTGAATTTCTCTCTCCCTCAAAACTGTACACAGTGATGTTTTCAACTTCTGGTATATTATCCTTATATACAAAATTCTACTATATGAACAAGGGTACATCTTACACTGTGTAGGCAACCTAACAGAAGAAAAGTCCTTTGTAGGTATGTCTGAATTTCTTGGATATTAACAGAAGAACATGCAAATTAGCAAGTATGTAAGTCATCCGTTGGGTGATTAAAAGTAAATAAATGTATAAGATTAAAAAAATCTTAGTTTACATCATTAGTACAGAGCTTGAATCATTTTTCTACTTAATCTGTATGACAATTCGGGGACTTGTCATATAATGTGACGAGTTTCTGTATGTCTATATTGTAGCGATCCGATGCCAGCCTACTGAACCAGTCTTTAACCGCCTTCCTTACTTCTTCACTTCTTCATTGCTACCCATGCACGTGCTGCCCCTAAACTGTTCCAAGTGTGTGAACAAGTGAAAATTATACCACCACTGGGTACTCACATGGAGGTGCAGCTGCTGCTGCGGCTGCTGAACCCCGCAGACTGCTTGCTCAGTCGCTTGTTGATGTTCTCAGGAGAGTATGGGTTGTTAGGAAGGGGTGGGGCGTTCTCCCATTTGCGATGCTCGCGCTCTGCTATAGTCCCTATAATGTGCAGATACAGAAATATGTTCAACAGGAACCATATGTGACTATCACACAGGACAATGTTATGCTCTTGTTATGATGCTTTATCAACTGCACTGGGTACAATGGCAGAGAGAAAGAGCTGATGAACTGAACACAATGTTAGAAGAAGAAGTCATGGTCTGGTTTACACTGATATTATATATCTGGCAGAGGAAATGAAAAGAAACCATTAAAAGTCCCAGTCAAGTTAGCCTCTATTCAAGGAGAGACTGTAACTAGGGACCTTCCAAGTAAAAATCAAGATTGCCAAGCTCTGCCACCAATAATTTTAGTATGAATGTGATCATGGCAATTATGACTGTAAAACAATGGATTCTAAACCAGCTACAACAGAAAAGCAACAGATTGCAGCAAACTGTTATTAATGCCAGTGAACCACAAAGAGTGCAAAAAGCATTGACAAATTGTTAGTAATATAAGGCTTGTGAGTTATGCAACATGTCACCAACTGCAACTACAGAGTGCATATAGTACAAAGCTTTCATGGTGACTATATGGAATGAAGTCTTTTCAGGCAATATGTGCGATCGGTGTGCTATTTTATGACACTTTCAGTATCTGTACCATATAGTCTTGATTGGTAGGATGATTAGCGAATTGGAAAGGTTTGGAAGGAAGGAGTCATGGTATAATTGAGATACATCCCTGGAATTTGCCTGAAAGAGCTGAGAAAAAAACATGAACAAACATTCCCAGAAGTTAACCTGCATCTCTGCTTCTTATTGTTACAGAATGCTTCGAAGGCTGCGGCTGTCCATCACTACCCAGTTGCACACAGGAAATCCCACACATCTTAACTATAACTTTATTATGACACAAAATACTTCCTCAGCTGGAGAAGGGTACACACTTCTTGAGGCCAAACAGCTTATATTTCTTTCTCACAACTGAACTTCATCACTCTGTAAAGCACAACTTGTTAATAATGCAGCTAGTAAATGCTGTCACCTGGTGCTCATGCAGTGAACTGTGAATATCAGGTTACCTGTGCATGGTAAAGTGCAGTTTGCATCTGATTGGTCAGTACCTGGACGAGGGGGTGTAGCTAGCTCTGTCTCCTGTTTGGCATCTGCCCACGTCTCACACTCGGGAGACTTGCTTGGTCTCGATGGCACGGCGAATGTCCTACAGAAATGCAGGAACAATGTTTGTGTGTAATGCCTGAAGCTAAATATACAGTAGGAGCAACCGGTACTTCATAACCTTTGAAGCTTCATACTTAGATACTCACTATGTGAGCACTTAGTTATATGATGGTCTAGAAGGCAACTGGTCATGTGATGCTACCTTGCACGCCTCTCGCATGCTAAAAAATAGTTGGCCATTTTGAGTCTGTTGTTATATGACTATTGTAAACTGCTTTCTTCTGTTACTGTTATTGATTTCTACTGTGTTTCTTAATCCACCTTGTAAAGTTGTTTCATATTGTTAGTACATTCACATTACTAACTATATTTTTTTAGGCTGTGCCATAGCTCAAGCAGTTAGTCGCTGGCTTCCCACTGCAGTGGCCCGTGTTCGATCCCGTATCTGGTCAAGTGGGATTTGTGGTGGACAAAGTGTCTCTGGGACAGGCTTTCTCCGAGTACTTCGGTTTCCCCTACCAATCTTCATTCCATGAATTTCTCCATAATCACCCTCACCTATCATCTGGGGCTGGTACAATAGGCCAGAAGTGGCCGCAGTACAAGGGACTTAGTCCCACCCCACTAGCAATAAAAAAAAACTACATTTTTTGCTACCTGTTTAATCTCACTCTCTCTTGTTACATGAAGTAGTTCTGTCTTTACACCTTCCACTCAATTCTGTATGGGGTTTTGGACCTAGCATACATACATACATACATACATACTTTATTTCACTTCCATAAATCCTATCAGGAGTTACAAACTCATGTGGATGTGGAGATCGTCTTGGTTACAAATTTGGCACAAAATACAACTTGTCGTACAAATATCATAAACATTCTAATACAATCCATTACAAGTAAATTACAAGTGGAAAACAGTCCTGTCATACATTATTAGCACATACATATTAATGATAAAATTCAATAAGAGATACATATAGTTACAATATAAATAAGTAATATAAAATATTACAATGCTTGTATACAATAAAATAAAATAAAAGTTACAAAATACCCAATATAAATAATTATAAATACAAAAATACAAATCTGGCTATTTATCCCTTTTAGAGTAGAGTTATTCAAATACCTTAAGGGGATTTGTAACAGAAATATTCTTGTAATGAATAAAAAGAGTGTAATAGTAAAAATTGTTTTACTTCAAACCTCTTAATATCACTTGATACATCCTTAATGTGTTGTGGAAGATTATTGTAGACCTTCGTTCCTGAATAATAGATTCCCTTTTGATACATCCTCAAATTTACTAGGGGTAGATGGAGGTTTTTTTGTTGCCTAGTATTTTTCCTATGGATCTCTGAATTTACTGTGAATTCACTTCTATTTTTTGCTACAAAAAGCATAAGAGAAAGTATATACTGAGATGCCAAGGGCAATATTTCTAGTTTTTTAAATAATTTCCTGCACGAGTCCCTCCTTCTACAACCCAACATAATTCTAATTATATTCTTTTGCATCCTGAATATTTTTATGCTTAAGGGTGAGTTGCCCCAAAAGGGTATCCCATAATTTATGATTGAATTAAAATAAGAGTGATATACCATTTTCAAGGTACTTAGGGACGTGAATGGTTTTATTGATCTTATTATGTAGCAAACCGCACTTGTCTTTGAAGTAATATGTTCAATATGGCATTTCCAGTTCATTTTCTCATCAATGTGTATTCCAAGAAATTTTATATTAGATACAGTTGTAATTTCTTTTCCCTCATATGCAATTTTTGTTTCGGTTATTGGTTTATTATTACTGGCTGAGAAATGAATATAATGAGTTTTGTTAAAATTTATAGAGAGTTGGTTTAATACATTATGTCTTGTCTAGCTTGCATTTCGCTATCCCACCCAACTTGTAGGCATATGAAACCAACAATTAAGTCAGATGTGACTGGAACGTGTCTCCCACTTCTTGGGGCTAAGTTCAAGCCTGAATGTAAGACAGATGGTGAAGTATGCTTCAGTGTGGACCTGTGACACAGACAGATGAAGCTGTGCAACCTTTAGTCTCTACTGCATTGGGCTAGGCCAAGTTGGGTTCAATGTGCAGCAGGCTTTACAGTAAGAAGTTCAAATTTGGAAGTATACAAACAGAACAATGAAAAGAGCAAGCCTTCCCTTGTTGGGACATACAGCACGTACCTTGGCTTTGGAACTGGCGCTGATGCTGGTCCGATCTGCTCTGTGAGACTGCCGACCTGACGCTGGGTGACCAATGCATAATCCTCTGTATACTCACTGTCCTGTTGTCCAAACTCTGACAGACACTCCACTGCTGCAACATTAACATTTTCTATCAATGAATAACTGTATTATATTTTGTTTTTGTTTTAAATAAAGGCTCTATAATGATTCTTTTTTATTTTCATCAGCACTACCTACTCGTATATCATTAAATGTTCCATTTATTTTTGTTTTAAGTTTTTCTATCTTTTAGGGCTACCTTTTGCTTCACTAATCCAGATTATTACTTAATGCAATTGATCTCTTCCCTTATTTAACCCAGATTAATGAGGATTTACTGTAGTTATTATGTCTGGGGCTGCTGTGGCAGTGAATATCATGAGTATGATCTTCTAAAATATAACATAATTACCATCATTTAAGACACATCTATTATCTTCATTTACAGGGTATAATAAGTTATTTCTTCCTTGAAGATGGAGACAGCAGGTTTTGCCAAAATGCTAGTACATATCTACCAGGGTATATGGTGTCATCCCAGAAAACCACAGTCATTTTGTGTTAAATTTTGCCTTGTACAGATTAAGTGTAACCCACACTTCCATACTTTACACTAAGTTCAAAGGTGAAAGTACAAATATCCCTGTGTCAAGCACCAAACCAGGGAGATACATGTGGGAGTGGAGGTACAGTTTTACATATTCTTAACATATTCATACTATGACCTATAAAGCTTGCACAATCCCCATACCTCAGCCATACTGCAAAAGGAATATAACACATCCTTAGATACACAACTTCACATTTAAACTTAGTGCACTTCAATACACTCTGATGGTGGAAAAAGAAACACAAGTATCTACAAGATGTTTAAATTGACAGTAGTCACTGTATTTAAAACACAGGATACTTAATAACCCCTGTATCTGGAAATGGAAAAATTTATGATACAAGCAACACCACTATTTAACATTAAATAAGTTTTATTTCCCACTACACGTTTCGATGCTGCTTCCTGGGCCATTTTCAGGTGGTACAATATTTAGAAACACTAGCTACTGAAATGTCATGCCTATATTCTGTTGAGTCTGGGCCCTTGATAATCCCACCAGGCACAAAATTCAGGCTGTTATCCACTTTCTTCACACTAAAACTAGGAGTACTGTGGAAATCCATTTTGAATTATGTGGTTCTTGACCAAAATGTAATGAGTAAAGAGAATGCAAGACGATGGTGTAGAGTAAAGAGGTCGGCTATCTGCAGTGAGTGATGATCTTGTTCAAGATGAAAGAGTGCTTCACAATTACAGAACTTTCATGTGAACTTCCACAAATTTCACGACCTTTTCTCTATAAGATAATCACAGTTACGCTAGGCTATTACTAGTTTTGTGCAAGACGGTTCCTGAAAATGCTTGCAGGTGCACATAAAACACAGTGAATGGCTTTGACTTTGACATCCATGAGTGATACCATAAAGGTGGCAATGAATTTCTCAATCACGTGATGAAACTTGTGTTTCACTTGTGGATGTTGAAACCAAAGAGGAGGCAAAGAAGTGGATGTACATACATTCACAAAATAAGCCGAAGAAACGTTGTGTACCAGAAAGCTGGTGGCAATTGTTTTCTGGAACAGGAAAGGAGTGCTGATGGTGGAATTCATGTAACAAGGGGCCACAGTAAAGTAAGAAGGGCACTGTGAAACACTAAAATCTGCGTAGGGCCAGCCATTTTGAATAAAAGGCATAGAATGCTGACATTCAGCATAGTGCTCCTCCATGACTGTGTCTCCATACATATCTCATGAAGAACTATGCACACTGGAAAAATTTCTAGTGATAGTGAATTTAAGATTCTCATGCCAGTGACTGTGAAGAATACTGCCTTCTGGGAGGTAGCAGCATGTAGTCTGGTAGAAGCTGACTGTTGTTCTGAAGGAATATATGGCCTGCAACTTCAGGGCTGAAGTGTAAGACAGGCTTATTCTTCAACCTGAAGACAGGAAGTTTCTCCAAAATGGTGGCTACTAGACAGCACGATGTTACATCCCTTGAGACAGTAATGTTCATTCCTAGCCTCAAAGACTCTGAAGCAACAAACAGAAACTGATTCAGCAGATCTGAGGGTGCAGGTAGGGCTTGCATCACTTCTAGCTGGGCCTTTACTAAAATTATAGTACAAAGGGAATGTGATTGAATTTACTTCCATACTTCTTTGCAATTTACGTAGCTGTACTTACAAGGAGCTTTCACAAGGTTCAGATTAGTAGCTTCTGTCAGCTCCATTTCAGTACTGCCCTCAGCAGCTGTAGTCATAAAACTCTGTTCTTGAGGTCGCTCAACTGTTGCAGCATGTCGCTCGCTGGTCACTGAATCCTGAAGTGCATAAAGTGACTGTCTGTAAGGATATTACTTTACAAGGAAACAAGAAATTCTGCCCCCTTCCATTTAAAAACAGCTCAGTTTACTAATTTCATTACAGTGAGTTTCTAAAGGGTTCTGGTGCTGGTGTGTAACACTCACAATTACTGGGTATTTGAACTTTGTCCACTGTCCAGAATTCAAAGAACTACAAAACACAATGTTTTCGAAACCGGATCTGTTTCCATCCTAAGGCGAGGAGGAGACACCTACTCTGTTAGGTCCCTTAGAAAATGCTAACCTTAATCACTTGACCAGGATGGGAAGATCCAATTTCCAAAACATTGTGTTCTCTAGACTTCAGAATGGGCAAAGTCCAAAAATCCAGTAATTCTGAGTTTTTACATTTAATAACACAGTATTTACAGACCCTGTGATAAGAACCACCTTCATGTCATAATTCATAAAACTGTTTTATTTACACTGTTGCATGATACATTTAGATTACTGCCAATTACCCGATATGAACAAAACATCAGTAGAAATTTTCTTTTGGGGCGTGGGGGGGGGGAAGTAGCTTGTAAAAGCATACATTTTAGAAATATCATAAGCCTGTATTATCAATGTGAAGTGAACCATAGCCTTTGATTTATTACAGAAACACTGGCCATTAATTTCTATTATAAACAAATATTGTTACAAATGTGAACACAATAAATGTTTACAGTTGCTGTAACAAACAGAACTGCATACGATATTCATATGACAGAGAATTGGATACAGTTCCTTTAGGGTCCATATGGCACCCATCCATGGATTGTGACTCTTATTACAACATTTTTTAAGGTTCTACTGACAAGTATAATGTGTGCCTCACCTCTGGAACATGAATATCTGTTGGCGCTGTCTCCACTCCTGACAACACGATATCTTCAAGAGCTCCATCACTGCAGTCTGACAAATCTGAAATTTCCTCTGCATCTCTGTCCCCAATGCGGGCCCTAAAATCCTCACTGGGGTTCGGTACCAACATTGGCACAGGCATGGGACTCCGCCGTGCGGCGTCACTAGTACCACCTGCCTTGAGATGTCGGCGTTGGAATAGCCAGTTCTCCTCCCATGAATCAACAGGGCTGATTAGGTCTGTGGGCTGTGATGACTCTGACTGCTCCTCTTCCCTTGCTCCTACATCACATGTCAGCTGTTACTGCACACTGATCAGATCCATGCCTTCATTTCTCCTACATCTCCTCTGTTGTGCTACGTACATTTATACATTACATGTACAGCAAAATCTTGCCAATCTGGACTGTATGACAGAATGGCCTTGATTACATAATAATTCAGATTACTGAAGTGATGATTAAAGAATGTTAATAATAATAATGAGTTATCATTAGAACTACAGTGCTTGAACATTCAATAGTATATCTGGGTTATTTTCCATGATTCTGAGATCAAAATAACATGCAGCCATATTACTCCACTTTTACTATACTCTATCTGCTACAGGAATGAGGGGGTGTCATCGTCAGTGAGGGATGTAGGCCATTATGCAATCATTATGAAGTTAGTAGATTCTGTTTTGAACATACTTACAGTTTCTGTATGCCAGTGGGAAATTCAGATATGTTTACATGGTAGTTTCTTCCATAATGTTGCCTACACGAGGTATGACATACCCTGGGTCATATAGTACATGATTTCTAGGGCAGGAGGAAATAATTATTTCATGAATACAGTGTGAGAGATCTTCACTGTCTGGATGTCAACAAACAACTGGGCAAGCACCAACACATGGCAATAATTCAGCTAAGACTGACTTGATTATTGGGTAACTCTACTAACAGGGTCCAGGTTAGTAAGTTTTCCGGTACATATATGCATCTATAGGAAACAGAATAGGAACACACAATAAATTTTATATCTGAATCGATATTTAATTCTGAACAGAGCATAGCCCCACTGCACGCACCATCCACAATGTCGACACCCAGTTCAGGAAATGGCACACGTCGACGCTTAATGAAGCTGAGGCCAGACAGGTAGAAGTCAAGCTCTGAACTGTTCGCAGCCATGCCATCACTGCTCCTGTCTTCCTCTTCCTCTTCCTCTTCCTCACCTGCACTGTCATACATCGTAACCTCTTCCTCTATGCACTCCTCAATCTGCAGGCAACAAACATCACTTCAAGTTCCTGCCAGGGTGTGCCTGTCTTCACATTTATCCTCAATCACACCACTCAAATCCTAAAATATGTACTCGTACTCACCAGTCTGTGTCCTATTCTTTGCACAATCATTAAAATTGGTCTATTGTACCAGTCCCAGATGATAGGTGAGGGTGATTTTGGAGCAATTGGTGGAATGAAGATTGGCAGGGGAAACTGGAATACTTGGAGAAAACCTACCCCAGCGCCGCTTTGTCCACCACAAATCCCACTTGACCAGACCTGGGATTGAACCCGGGCTGCCGCAGTGGGAAGCCAGCGACTAACCGCTTGAGCTATGGTGCGGCCCATGTATTTAACTAACTCCACTTCTTAATCAATCTTATCCATTCCCTGCTTCTGAAGGACGTCCATCACCTTTACCCCTACTGCCCAAGAGTGTAACATTAGTATTTGATTTAGAGAGAGCTAATCACAGTGGCCACATGGTCTAAGGCATGTATTGCTTTTAATGAGTCAAATACTGGAATTGAAGGTTTATATATCACTTAGGTAACGGATGTAGGTATGGATGGTTTTGTTCTTTTAATGGGCTGCTCACCGATCCAGCTGTCCATTAGGTTCATAGTTTCAAAAGTTAATTCTAAACTGGGTAGGCTAGACAGCATAATCCACAAAGGCTAAAAGAAAAGACAAAGATACAACCAAAATTGTAAAATAATAAGTGATTGATAATTTTCATTGTTATAAAGGACTATTTCAGTGGAGAAGTATTCCCATTTAACATTGCACATTTGGCTTGTAAATAACATGGGCTGTTATATCAGTTATCCTTGCCATATGCACTAATGTTGATGTGATTCTTACAGCTTTAATTTGACTTTTAGTCTGGCACCGAGAACAGGTAGAAGATGAAGAAGAGGAGAAAGAAGCAGAATGAGGAGGAGGAGGAGGAGAGAAAAGAAAGTTACATTTATTTCATTAAGTGACTCAAGTTTTAATGTTGCCCCTGAAGTCTGTTACTCTGACTCAGGTGGCAAATTCTCCTTCTCTACTCCTTCCAGGCCTTTCATACTTCTGAGGTGGAGCAGCCTAAGGACAGAGTTTCATTCATTCCAAGTGACAGTTGATGGCACTGGGCTGTTATGGACTACTGACTTTCTGACTGACATAGGTGCAGGATTAACTAAAATACACAGTGATGGGTCATCAATGAAGAAGGGACAAGGAACTTACAGCTGTGGGCTGTGGTCAGACTTACAGTCATAGAGAGGGGTTCAGCGTGGCTTGACTCGCTCCAATTCCCGAGGCCCTCCTGCAAGGATGAATCACCATCATGGTTGTTCACTCCAATCTCAACTCGACCTGCAGCAAGAAACAGGTGCGTTCTGCTTGAAGAGAACATTACAGCACGACCCTCAAGTTCTAATCTACTCACACACATACTCTCAGTTCTAAATCTGAATGTATCACTGAGTTCCTGAGGCAAAAGAGCAGAACTGTGAAGTTTTAGTGTTAGTATTATAAAGAGGGGCCATATTATTTTTTAAAAAAAAAAGGTGCACTACAATTTGGAGTACACACAGTTTAAATGCAATTCTGATTCCTTGCTGGTCTTAAAGTTTCTGTTCACATACTGCTGATGGAGCTAAGTTATCATTTTGTGAGTCTGCCCTGAAAGTGTCATGCCAAGAGTTTGGGTATCTCATATGGCTGCTCGACCTCATTCTGCTGCCAAAATAGATCCAGGTAAAGAGCACAAGTCATGAAATTTCTTACTGTATAAGTTTCTCTGTTCCCTTGTTACTTCATTTATTGGTGTAAATAGCACAAGTTGACAGTACTGATGTATATATGTGGATGTATTTTTTAATAGCCTCATGTGTAACCACTGTGTTTTCTTATGTGAAAACTCCAGCTGTACTGCACATGTATTTTTGTATTTATATGATATATTCCACATCATCAAGTGATGTAATGTAGTAAACTTTTCACATTATTAGAAACCTAATCATAATCTTTTGGAACCCACATTTCACTTAATCTGCAAATCACTCAGTTTTGTTATAGAAATGTAAGAGTCACTCAGCTCAGCTACTCATGCTTCTGATTTGTAACTGATAAAAGTCCACTTCAGATCTTGGTTAAGACAGTAACAGTCCTGACTAAAATTTTTCATGGTTTTCATCAGTCTCTCTGGACAAGTTCTGGGATAGTATCTGAAAGTGGTCTATAAAAAGATCCTCTCCAATTCATTATTCACTAATCAGCTATACAGTTTGAGCTACTGACATCATTATTAGATTAACCATAAAAACAATAACAGTCACTACATGACAAATGATAATGTATTGTTGTATTTGTAGATAATAACACCAACAATTAAAACATTTACATTTGCTGCTAAGCCAACAGCCATAGGAGCCAAATACAGATTATTTTATTTTCATTTTTTGCACCCTATTGTGTTATAACATTAAAGTACTGGGGCTGTTCACACAACAACGAAGTAAATTAGTTCCAATTTCAATAAAATCTATAAAAATCAATAAAGTAAGTAAAGGTATCCCTGTAACAGGCCGTGGAAGTCCACAGGGTTGTGAGATGTTGAGCTTCCTACATTTTGTAGACAATTGGCTCATAGATGGCGGCAAGGTTGTCAGCCCTACGCGCAGGCTACCATTTACCCTCAAGAATATTCCAAAACTATTCCTGGTACTCATTTCTGTTAGAGGCTGAGTCAACCCCAGGGCCATAGTGCGGCTGAAAGGATTAGGTCAAGTAAAAAAAAATCCAGTGACCTCATCGGGACTTCAACCCGCGACCATCCGGCTTGTAGCATAGTACCTCAACCAACTATGCTACCGTGTGCCCCCCATAAAAATCAATAAAATAGATTAATAAATTTTATTATCTATGCCACCCTCACATGTTTCGGTTACATGGACCACCATCAGGTGGTTTGTAAATAAACACATATAGCACATCATTACAAAACCGCAAAGTTAAACTGCTCCATTTTTACAATAAAAAATGTTGTAATGCATTTCTTGTGCTCAGCGATAAAACATAAATAAAATAAAATGCAATGGCTGCCTGAATTGTTAAAATATTTAAAATAAGGGAGATTACATATATTTTAAGGCTGTAAATTCCTTGAAGTAGTATATGTATAGTGGGGTCTGTGGAGTGTATATGGTGCTATACTACATAGGTGAAAAATCCTGCGTAATGCAGATGCAATGTTCGTAGCATGCAATTACATAGTTGTTGGTGCCCAGTGTAAGTAACAAGTCGTGGATGTGTGGAGGAGTGTAAGTTTTGTTGTAGTAGTCATTTAACTTTACACTTTGTCTGAGGGAGGGGGGATGCAGATTACTGTGTAGTGGAATTCTCAGTTACTGTTGGAATTACAAGGTTAGTTATTCCTTACTGTGATGCACCTGGGATGTAGCTGGTTGAAATGCTAGGAGGTACAGAGTCAGCATAAACAAATGAAATAACAAGAGACACAAGTAGAACACAAAAAAAATACATATGCATAAGACATTCCAGCATACAGTGCATATAGTACAGTTCAAGTGTTTGCAGAGTATCATAACTTTGCAATGGTAATGAATATAGCAAAATATGTAACTGCTGGTTAATCAAACTGAAGAGAAGATCAATGTTAAGGAAATTATCATGAAATGAATTCATGCTGATACAGATTTCATTAGCAGATAAAATGTAGCAAATAGAAGGACATTTATTATGAGATAACAAAGTACCAAGTTCTGAAGTCTCTGATGTCTCTGACTGGAACTCTCATGATATCAGTTTCTAAAAGTGAAAGGCATGTAATAAAGGCATTATAATAAGAAGAACAAAAGAGAGATGGTCTATCTACTGAATGCCTTTGCTTACTTATGTACTTGGGTGCTTGCTCTATGCTGCAGAATGCTGGCACACCGCGGTCTCCATCCACTGCATCAGGTAACACTGCATCAGTCCTTTGCTGGAACCGCTCAATCACCTTCAGCGATGAAATAACATTTTGTAAATTTTAATCATTGTCATGGTGGTGGAAGTGAATTAGAAGACACTGACTGAGCAATGTTTGGGTTACATAACATTTACTCTGCTGAGCCCATAATGTCCCTGAAACAGATCATCCTTGCTGCTGTTTGGTGACATTTTGAGAAATCTGTGTTCAGACTGGCAGGGTATGTGATTGCATCTGTCACACACATGATGAACTTCAAATTAGATCTATCTGCTGCCTCTGCATGCCATCTCTTGTAGGAATTACAAACTCGTGCATCTAGATGTGGGGATACACCATAAATCACAGACAGCAAAAATGTAAAAACAAAATAGTACAGAGGGATATGGCTAGCACTAATTACTCAGCAACAGTGCAAGGGCTGTGGGAACTGCCCACATTCAAGGTGTGACAACGCGAGCTTCATTGCTTAGCAACCACTGTTTACTCGTCGTTGCTAAGCAATGAAGCTCGCGTTGTCACACCTGCTTGAATGTGGGCAGTTCCCACATGGCTAATAACATATTTTCAGCCTCATAAGTTATAAAGCATTAAACATCAGGATGATGGTAAATGAAGAACTAGGAAATACTTGTAAGTAATCAGTCACTGCAGAGTTCGAGGTACTAACCTAGCATGTTCCAGGAGATACTGAAGAGAATCATGAAAATATTCAGTTAGTATAGTCAGATTCCAGACAAGATTAAAATGTGGCCTCTTAACCAGAGTATTCAGTTGAAAGTATATGCATGGAATGACACAAAGGTCAGTAAATTCATAACAAGTTTAATGAGTTAATTTGCCTATCCTGCGCCAAAGGACACTGTCAATATCTCAGACTATTTAGCATCAACTGGTAGGATGATTAATGATTAATGAACTGCAAAGGATATGAAAGAAAGCAGTTGTAGCGTAACTTGAGGTACGATAGTAGCATTTCCCTGGAGAGGCTGAAGCAAACCATCACTTAGAATAGTTAGGATCTGCAATCAGACTTCAATTTTAACGCCATGTGATACAAATAAGCCAGTATGGAAGGTAAGTCTAATGAAAATGATCAATTCAGAATTTAGAACATGAAAATGTCAGGAGCTTACCTGTCATAATGAAATGAAAGGAGGATAACAACACAAACCATCAATGTCTGTATAATATTATGTGATCCTCAGCTCACACAATGGTGAACAGAGACAACATACTTCTTGGATGTGATGCCCTCAAGTTTGATGAATAAGCAGGAAAGTTCTGGAGGAAGCTGATGATTATTGCAACATAGTTCTTTAAGAAAGGTGATAAATATGGGAATCATGTTGTATAACAAGGTCCCTGAGCATATAAAATTAGAGAAAAATTTTTACTCTTTTAAGAGGGTCTTAAAACCTTTCTGTTGAAACATTCCATTTATTCCGTTGATGAATTTATGTCCCATTAATTCTTAAGTGAGTGTGTTACATGACAATTAACTTGTTCTCACTTAATCTATAAAAAATCTTTGGATGCTGGGTTTCTTTTGGTTATCGAATTGTTGCAAGTGGGATGAAGTATTGTATGACTGATGTGTATGAAATCTGTAGGTTGTTAAGTTTTATAGTATAATTGACCCATGTATGATATGTATGTTATATTAATATTGTAACGTGTTTAGACACTGAAGACGCCGTTCGGATTGTTAATTGGTTTATTCAACACCCTACAAACCTCGGCTACAATTAATTATGACAATGTTGCGGGGTTTCACAGTTTATAACCCTATTCGCAAATCAAATCACTCTATTGTCAGTAGTCTACACGTTTACAGTACGGGAGCTATGTAAGTGTGCCTGTATCACACACTCCCAATTACACAATTACACACACATCCAGTTATTCTTTCCACGAATGCTGCTATACTCCAACTGTAGGCTGCTGACTGGAGAACTGTTTTCAGCACTGATACACCTTAACTCTCTCCAGGGACGGCTACAAGTTAACTCGACTACAACTGACCTCAGCGACTGTTCCAATTCCCTTATATAGTCGCAGTGCTTGCCTGTTGCATAATAAGTGCCTTGTCACAGTAGGAATCGGTGCCATGTCGCCGTGTTTGCGTATAGCCTAGCAACGCTGTTACCTCACGCCATCTTACGTCACCGCGCGTTGCGTGTTATGTCACCGTGGGGAGAGTGGCGGGGTGATGACTCGCCTATTATCGTAGTAACGAGAGCGCTACATTACGGCCACATGCCGCTGGGGAGGTAGGGGTCCTCCGTCGCACAACATGTCACAATATTGTAACGTGGGGAGGGGGCATCCTGCATAGCACAAATACGTCACACTGCTCCCTCCTTAAGGCTGTTCATCCCAAATAGCCTGATGGTACATCCCTGTTCCTTTTATTTGCAGGCTGTTCTTGCAATGTCTTCTTCTTTCTTGTCTGGCTACTCCTCTTGCAGCGACTATCCTCCGTCCGTTACAATATGAAGTTACTGACTTGTTCTGTATCTGGATGTTATATCACCAAATATGGATTCTTGGAACAAATTAATTGATTGACTGATTGATTGATTGACTGATGCCTCCACCATCTTCAGGACGAAGGAGTGATGGAGGCATTTGGCTCCCATGAAACATTTAAACCTACATTCCAGACTATGTGAGGTCACATCTGAGAATGCTGTATTCTTAAGAGTCACCATTGTAAGAAGCTCAAATTTTCTTAAGTCAGAAACAGAGTTTTGAAATTCTGAGAACCTAAGTTCTCACTCGTAAGAAACAAATATTTGAGGTAGGTGTTTCATTGAATATAATATGTGTTAAGCATGATTGTACACAGTAGTGCAAGGGTTACATGTACCTTGTTCAGTACTGAATCAGCCCAAAGGGTTGCACATACCTTGTTATGCAGAGCCATTGTGAAAGAGCTGCACATACCTTGTTCAGTATTGCTGTAGCCAGGATGTCTTCATAAGTCATGGATGTGATGTCATCATCCCATTTGTGGAAGGCTGTACCATTTTCTGTAGGTACATGGTTCTGAATGAATAAACCAGAGGTCAGTCATGTTCATCTTCTGTCAAACACCAGGCAACATCTGTCTCTATTATTCTCTTTGTCAGGGCCAATACAAGAGCATAGAAAAGTCAAGCGGCCACCTTGGTAGCAAATTTTACAGTTCCCTTCATTTTGTTAAATGAAAACTGATTTCTGGTAATCTCTTTTTCATGTCATGGTGATTAATTGGTATTCATCTAAATATGTTACGCAAGAATGTAAATACAATTGTTTTAAATATTATGACACCACCTCATTGCAGTGTCTTGAAATTTTGTTATTGTAATGAAGATTCAGAAGAGATGATCTGCTTTTAACTGGAGGGAGATTTTTTATCATCTGAGACAGCACTTGAGCTTATGCTGGACCTGCCCGTCATAATATCTTACAATAGGCATGCCCAATAACCATAGATCTGTTGCCATTAAAGACTATGAACAATAAAAGTTTGATCTTTAAAGAGACATAAACTCTATTATTGACAAAGCCAATGAACAATGCAGATCACTGAGCATTACAGGTGAATGGTACCACTCCTAGTTTGTACTCAGGAGTCCCGAGTTCCAAATTTTAATCCCAGAGGCTGAGGTTTCTGAAGGTTTCCTTCAGTACCTCAAGGAATATTCCAGAACAACACCTGAAATTAGGCTACCACTACTTCATTTCGCAGCCTTTCCCATTCACTTGTTCATCAGTCATCTCAACATTAGACCCTACACTGATGGCATCATAACATAAAATCACACTTGAACTCCAAATATCTAATATCGAAATATCTCTGAGTAATTCTTAACATGAAACATGCAGACAAAGATGGGTGTGATCTCCCCATAATGCAATGCCTGAGACAGTTCTGGTGCCTCACCTTGAGGTTTGGTAGAGTCATGGCCTCGTGTATGATGTGCTGCACTCGCTGCTTTAGGGCTGCATGGACAGCAGATGGCGTTTCTTCTTCAGGCAGCGGCTTGTCTGAACAGGCAGAATTACATGAGCACACTTTACTGGGTGACACTTGTTCATAATCTGATGACTGGCAATGTGATATTCTCTGATAAAGATGAACTCACTAGACCACTGACCAAGTAAGCTTGCATACAGGTGACACTCTAGACTTGTAATGGGGAGGTGCTTGATTTGAATCTCAGGTGAGGGACTGGCTCTCTGGATTGAGATTGTTCGTGGAGCTCCTCACTCTTGCAGCTAAGTAGAAGAATAGACCGGGTACTGGGCTGCAGCCCAGAAGTTGAGAAACACTATTCTAGCCTATCTCATCTCACTGTGTATAATCACTATGAGAATGTTAGATGAAGAGTAATGAAGCATCTCAGTGTGTAATTGTGTCCAGTATCCTGTTGCTTCCTCCCTCTTAGGTACAAATATTGTCCTCAGAAACTCCGTCCTTAAATGCCTTCAGTCTAATATTCTAAACTGAAGTGATGAACATTATTTGTGGACTTCAACTTTCATAAATATCACTGATATAAAGAGAACTGAAAAGCATTTGTGAACGTCAGTTTCACACCACTATTAACAATGTTATATTTTAGCGTCCTGTTGCACTGATTTAAGTTCATGATTTTTACGATTGACATTTGTCAATGTATGTGATGGACATATATTTTAGTTGTTTTAAAGTGAAGACAAGGCATGCAGTGTACTAGTTTGACGTGAATTGGGTAGCACCTGAAGATGGCATTTTTATGCCGAAACATGTAGTGAGAGTGAGAGAAGAAGATAGATAAGTGTACGCACTGCAAGACGGATTAAACAAATCATGAATTCACACCACTATCTGTGCTGGGACATCCAAATTGCTAATACAGATGGTCTTATGTTCCCTCTTCAACCCTTTACATGATAACTACTTTCCTAGCTACAAAGCCCTCGACTGTTTGCAAAGATTCTACTGGAACTTGCTAGACATACCTGCATTCAATGCAAGTAATGTTACTATTTCAGGTGAAATGCACAATAAATAACTGGTGCATATTTTATAGCATGCATTTGATGGATCAGAGCTTTATATAATTGGTATTTTGTATTTTGACCCTTAGAGAGCAGACTGTTGTTTCTTCAATATGTCCAGTGCAGTTTTATTCGTGGCTATCAGTACTGCATGATGGCAAAACTTAATCAAAATTGTTAAGTTTGAGAAAGAAAAATATTTTGTGGGTGATAGCTGACCAGGAGCCCACTGTTCAAATCCTGTTATGTTTAGAATGTTCTGGCCCACAGAACATTATTTGCCCCTATACCTCATCAAAATTTAATCAAAACTGATCAAAATGTTTCTGAGAAAATTTACATCTTGCATTTGGCCTCCTACAAAGCATATCATTATTTTACCAAGGACATCACGCATGCAGTTTTACATATTTAGAGTGATGGCCGCCATAAATGACTGAAATTTAATCAAAATCGTTTGTGCTGTTCTTCATAAAATAGTTAATTTTGTCTTTTAGCTTCAATCCAAGAGCCCCTATTTTTGAAAATACAATGTTCCTATTCACCTGACACAGGCCTATGGTGTATAAATTCTTAAATACATATTATGAATAAAATCCATCCAAATGTTCAGGCGCTAGTGAGGTGCATATACACACATACTTATGGGCAGACAGAATTCCAAAAACCGACTTTTCACGTACAGGATGGCTGAAAATGTGTAAATCAGACAGAATTTGGATATCAACGTTTTCATACGTCACTCCATGACTTTAGTCCTCAAGCGAAATATACCGAATGGGTGACTGCCGCTTGTCGGCAGAGTTAATGCCAGCTTTGTAACATTCTTCATGCTCCACTTTCAATTGCACATAATCTGTGCGATCTTTCAAATATCATCATTAATATCTTTGGATGAGGGTTCAAAAAGCAAAAAGTAACGACAAGATACTTCACACTTTGACGTAATCCATATGTGTGACTCTCTCCTGTCCACAGTGCAATGGCATCCTCTGGTTATCCACGACTCATGGCACTTTGCAGGGGAGAACTGACGAAGAGGTGATCCAACAACCAGCACAAACAAAAGTGCCGAAACAGTTTTCATTGACGTGAGGATGAGGTTCATTTACGAAAATCCCCGTTCACACCCATTTGAAGAAACTGGTATCATATTCAAAGCATTATTCAAATCCACCAGATTTTCAGAGAAAATCTTCTAATTCATACAATCCTTAAACTATAAGGTAGCAGACATGCGATTTAATAAAATCTGCTCTGCTAGATTCGACTCCAATATCAATTCATCAAGGTCAAATTTCAATTGTACAATGCATCACTGAACCTTTCCAGTTTCCTAAACACAGTTAGTTCCTGAGATACCGGAAACATTACATCAATTAATTACACGAATGGCATACAAGTGACACTCATCATACGCACCTTCATTACCCGATTATTCACTGATTTATGTCACTGCCAAGCGCAGCTGTAATTCCCTGCCTCCGGTCACAGTACAAGCTTATGTGCACGCCGAGTGAGTTGTGTGAGTAAGTTTCCTTGACTCGGGTTATCACATTGTTTCCTGCTGTTTCTTCCATGTACTCAGTGTTCACTTGCTGTGTTTCCGGATTTATACATTTCTGACAGTCATCTGTAACTTATTTTTTACTGTCCTTTTGCGATTCAGAATTAATTCTGAAACAATTACTCCTTCAGGTATTTGACAGGAGATTAGGCCTTTGTAAGACCTCTAGCTACACACAACACAACAAGAAAAATCTTGACGTAAGCAGCATTGTTCAACAAGCAGTCACAATTCTGAACAAATAACTTCTGAGGGTCTGTTAACACTCGCATTTGTTACTTCAGTACAGATGCCACACACATTAACAACAAACAAATCTTCTGTTTCCCCACGTGACAGCCAGAGTGAATGACGGAACTATCCAGTGACACAAACCTTCTTCAAGTCATACGTAGCAGAAATCAGGGCTGCTGTTCGCACTCATCAGCACACTCAGCTCTGAAGCAGCTGCAGTGTGTCCCAAACTGCCATCAAGGGTAACACTGTCACACATGGCTGGGAGCCGGCAACTTGCTCGCAGCACGTTTCACTTCTGTGGTCACTAAAGAAGCATTTCGAAAAACAAAATGCTTCTGGCAGAACGCTGGGACGAAAGCCAAGGTGCAACATTGGGTGCAAGCACTAAGGACTTGTTTCTTCCCTGTGGGAACTGAACCTGCATATTGCCAAAACAAATTTATGAGTCACAATATTGTGACAGAATAACCGATTGCTAGACATCGGCTTGCTAGAGCACGCAAGTGCATTGTCATGGAGAGACTGATTCTTGGAAATCAACTGGATATGAAAACCACAAGTTGTAAAGTTAGTAGAGAGTCCGTTGAGTGTAACAATTTGTAGGTCACTTTTTTAATATCACTTCTGCCTTACATGTTTCGGTTTGATACAACCATCAGGCAGTTCACAACACACAGCACATAAGAAACATCGAACCATAAGCCATACAACTTCAAGCTGACGTCTCCCATCTTCGGGATGAACTAACAAGGAGGAATTCAGCATTTTAGATTAAATATTTTAACATTTAGCGTTTTAACTTAAAACAGTTTCGGATGAAAAGTGAGAACTTGATAGTGTACTCAACTATCTTAGTAAGTTTTGTGCTTTTACACGTCAGCATATTGTAGCAGCGTCTACACGACAAACATAACTGTGAACATCATAAACGACAGTGTTTCCATAGTTATAGCAAGTGCCTCTGATGATGGTTGTATCAAACCGAAACATGTAAGGCAGAAGTGATATTAAAAAAGTGACCTACAAATTGTTACACTCGACGGACTCTCTACTAACTCTGTGATTGATAGTGTAACGGACCAAAAATGAAACAATTCAAAATACAAGTTGTAAACATGCAGCAACAGATAAATGCAGAATAACCGAGTAATACATGAACTGTTACAAGGAGGTGGTCTCTCTTCAGTTTGACCCTAGTTGTAAATAAGGGGGCATTCTTGAATTGATTGATTCATAAGGGGGTTCAGTGATTCAGTCATAAGAGAGTTAAGTGTTCAGCTGTGGAGTGTTAACTAGTGGACAATGGAAGCTGAAGAAGTGACTTATTTGTAAATCAGAACCAAATTAGTCACAGTAGAAGAGAAGACACTTGTAATCCAATAAGGAATGGAGCAAGTCTTAGACATTCATTGATTGTGAGCTGTTATAATTGATTACCATTGATTGTAAATGTGTAGAAGTGCCATCAAATCTAATCATCCAATCCAGAACCCACTATTACTACTCATGGAACCCCAGACACATAACAATATTATATTGCAGAATCCCGTTGCACTGTGTATTCTAACTTCATGTTCTTGCTTCTCACCATCTTTGTGCAACTTTGTCGATATCCTCCCACTACAAGCTCAATATATATTGTCGATTTCCCTGTTTGTTATAGTAAATAAGGAATTATTCACATTCAACTCACAAATGCATAATTGTAGTACCAGATCTATCTGTGATCTGCATTATCCGCAAACTAGTCTAACCTAATTCCAAAAAGGAATATGTTACATGGGGGTAAAGATCTTTAATCATTTGCCACCAAAAATCAAATCTGTGTCTAATGACTTGAAAAATTTTAAAATTCAGTTGACAACATTTTTATTGCAAAACTCCTTTTATATATATGATGAATTCTTTAGTAACAAATTTACCTAGAAATAAGGATAATAACATAAACAATTTTAATTTTGCATAATTTTATGTATAGTGATGTAAGCCTGTAAATTTAACACATGTTTTTTATCTATTATAATGATTATAAGCCATACATATATATTTATAATTGTATTGTACTATATTAACTATGTGAATGGTTCTATATCTATGTATATGGATTTATGGAATATACAATAAATGAATGAATGAATTAATTAATTAATATTCACACTCAACGTCTTTGTCTCTTCTCGTTGTACAACACTACTTGTTTTGACCTAACTAGCCATCAGGTGTATAGGATGTTGGATTAAAGGCACCTGCTGCCCTGTTGACATGCTGTTCTGCTTTTCATTTTGATGTAAAATGCTTCTGATATACGGTATACGCAGCACAAAAGGACAGAACAAACACATCAACAAAAATACACCAGACACGTGCATACAAATAAAGTAACAACAGCATAATAATCTAAGAATAACCTAAAATAAAATATTTTAGAAGCATTTTACATCAAAATGAAAAGGGCAGGAGCATGACAACAGAGCAGCAGGTTCCTTTAATCCAACAGCTTATGCATCTGATGATGGCCAATTAGGCCAAAACACGCAGTATTGTATAATGAGAAGAGACAAAGACACTGAAGTGCGAATATTCATATATTGATGAAGGTGCACAAAGATGATGAGTGCAAACACGAAGTTCTGTGTCACTCTGGCAATTACATGGATAAATATGGGAGCTGTCCATTATTCCATGTTGTTCAGGACACCCACATTGAAGTAATACACACCACAGTTTGTTACTTATTGAGTAACCTATGTATATCCATGACTTAAGTGTGATTTGAACCCATAATCCCACTGTCTCAGCGGTCCCACAGTGATATATGACATGCCATATCATCCATACTCAAAACACACAGTTTTTGATGGTACTCTAATTGGTGAGAGAATGGGTGCTCTGTACTATATACATCATGGATTTTGAGAAGGGTTGATTAAATTTGGTAGTTTAAGGTTAGCTTTGACTGGGTTGGGTTGCATTCAGGTGTGTTAGGTTATGTCAGGTCGGGTTAGGTTATATTAGGTTACTGATGCACATATACATCTATCAGTACGTCTCTATTTCAAGTTGGCCAAAAATCTCAGAAAGCAAATTGTTAAAAATAGATATCAGCAGAGCCACAAACTGAGTATTTATAACGTAGTGTTGGTCACTTACTGGAGATCGCCATATGCAGGGCGAACGAGAGCTGAACGAGGTTCTCACACAGCGCAGTGTGATGGCAGGCAAACATGCGATCATCTGCAAACAACCACATCCAGCATTGTCCCAGGGGTTAGTACCACAAGCACCCTCACATGCATAATGCTTCAAACAGCAGACAACTTTTGTTTAAACGGGTAATGCAAGCTTATCATGTATCACATGTATTGCACTTGTTTTATTAGAGATTTGAAGGAACTCATTTCCTTTTATGAAGCCCCATTTATGAGCAGTTTCTGTGTGTGTGTGTGTGTGTCTCCATTCCCTGATTCGAACAGGGACTTCAGTATTGTAGATGAGCAGCACATATTGTTCGGCTGGGATTTGGTTGCTTCCCTCTTCAATATTACAATACACAGTGGCTAAATTTTTAGAGAAAGAATGGCATTCAAACAGGAAAAGTAAAACAAATCATGTAAAGGCGAACCTCTACTTACAAACTTCAAGAAACGAACAATTCATATCTACAAACATTGCACGGACTATTAAATTGTGACTCCCAATTCATTTAATGAACAAAGAACTACATGCTTACGAAATTTTTAAAAAATTAACATTAAATCCCAGCCACAAAGTGTACTGTGACACTTCAGTATCACTTTAGCACTTGTGGCTACCATACATATTGACAACAATATAGAGTAATTAAAAAAATTCTCTTAGTGGGGGGTGGAGTCCAACAGGGTCCACTCAGCACAGCGGCCACTGATTAGCCTATTGTAGCCTACCCCGGGTGATTATGATGATGGAGAATTTGGTGGAATGAAGATTGGCAGGAGAAACTGAAGTACTTGGAGAAAACCTGCCCCAGTGCCACTTTGTCCACCACAAATCCCACTTGACCAGACCCGGGATCGAACCCGGGCCACCACGGTGGGAAGCCAGCGATTAACCACTTGAGCTATGGTGCGGTCTACAATATATTGTAAATTTCTTAATGTCTTTTGAGTGTTTTCTGTTAGGTTTATGGTACAAGATGTTACATTCATGTGTGTGTGTATATATATAAAACGGTAAAAATATAATGTTGTTCCTGTGCTTACTTAATTATCACACAATGGAAACGTACTGGGGGAGTGGAGGTATAGCTGCACCATTCTTGGCCTTGGCACTAGATGGAGGTGAATGGTGATCTTCAAGCCCCGGCCAGTTTAGCTCCAGGAAAAGAGCCCCTAGTGTGCACTGAATAGGGGGCTCGCTGTGCCCCAAAGCCTGTCTGGGTGCTGTGGGGAAAAGACAAATCTTTCCATGCCGGGAATCGAACCCAGGCCATCCAGCCAGTATCCCATTGATATACTGACTGAGCTGTCCTGGGATTCTTTCTTAAATGCGTTTCTCTACACACACACACATACACACTCGCGCATGCACACAAAAATCATACACTAAACAAACTCTTCCTTTGAGAATAAGTAGGCTGAAAAGGTAAAGCTTCCAATACACAATAGATTAAAGCATGTTCCTGGAGAGACCACAAGACTTACTTTAAGGTTCCTTTGTAAATGTTTTGAAAAATGATTCAGTGATGTTGTATCAACTACTGATGTCGGTCCCAGTATATGGAGGCTACAGAAAGACATCCACGGATCGAACCTTCACATCTCCCTTGACCTACTATGCTTCCCTCTTCAGCATACTTTTTTACATTCTTTTTTGATCATTTAACCAGTCTGTTCATATGAATGTTGATGGTGATAATCATGCAACAGCAACAAGCACTTTGGGCTGGGCAATGTGGGCAGAAAGGATTGGAGGAGAATACGAACAAGTAGCCTCGAGCACTGTCACCTTCATGATCCATGGGCCCTCTTTCTGTAGCCTCTGCATACCATACAATGATAAAAGCTTTACCCAGTCATACTTAGCAAGCATTTTTAAACTGCCATATATGCTGCTGTTTGTAGTACTGCTGCACTTCCATCATGCGACTGCCACAGTGTCAGAGAACAAGACTTTTCAGTCTATGTACATAGAAGAGACATACCCCATGGTAGGTAGTCTGCGGGTTCATGTACAGGGATCTTTATGAGTAAGATGATAATATGTTGTGCCATCCAGTGAGCTAGAGAAATTACACTGATGAAATAACTGTGTAGTATGTAAAGAAACCTGTACATATGCTCAGTGTGAACATTCTTATTCATGTGACAGACATCCAACTGACAGTGAGATTCATGCTATGTACAATACAGAATCCCACCACTGATTTCAGAAACCATATATGGAGTCATTCCCATAATTAAGGTGAGGACTATGGCATCAGTCATTCATGAACTTTTATCTTGTACAAAGCCCTGGAACACAACTTCTGGGTATGACAGATCTGCAAACCACTTGCACCCCCAAATCCTATGCAACAGGTACTCTTTCAAGAGATGTACTAACATCCAGATGAAAATGATGACAGTATACTACGAGTAATGAACTGTTCTCAAATTCCCATGAATACAATGAAAGAACAAACAGCTAAGCCATAGCTTTCTGATGTGGTCTTAGTTAGACCTATGGTACTTTCAATATGGCACTTCTTAACCGTTTGACCAGTTAACACGCTAAATCATAATGGTCTACATGCCACAATGTTGCTTGGCAACAACCACGAGATAAGCAACTGTACAACAGCTGTTACTGAGTAACGGCTTCACAAACAAACATGTTTGCACAGCAACAATTGAACTACAACAGAGGAACGGTGTTTCCTGTGCAGTCCTTGCTGAGATATTATAAGCAGGCCAAGTCAGTCAGTGGAAATGGTTGGTGGGTGAGTGAGTGAGTGAGTGAGCAAGAGTCAGATACCTGCTGGGACTCAGTTGTTGTGAGCTGTTGCTGTGAGAAGCTGGTGGCTGAGGCTGGGGACAGTTCGGGAACCCAGAAGAAGAATGTCCACAGTTGAAAGCCACTGCCAAGCAACAGCAGTGAAGACACGTCTGCGCGCGCATACGTGTAATAGTGAAACGTGAAGTGTAGTCATTTGCTGTATCAAAGAGTCCAATGAATCTAATCACGCATCCAAAATCTGCCTGCAGTCCCTCCATCATGTGACAATATGTATGACCTCCTTAACATTAAAAAACTCATAATATGAGTCTCATGACAAAAACCGATTAATTCCCTAACAACATAACTGTTCAGTCTTTGCAATGATGAGACAGTGCATTGCCTCTGAGGTACAGACTGAATCTTTAAATATTATTTACATGGATTTCAGGCATTAAATAATGGGTAAAAGGTAAAGCTAAAGCTATCCCTGTAACAGGCCATGAAGGCCCATAGGGTTGTGAAATGTCAAGACTCCCACATTTTCTCTAGACATTTGGCTCACAGATGGCAACAAGGTTGTCAAGCTCACACGCCAGGAACCAGAGAGTAGTGTGTAGTGTTTCTTGAATCAGATAAGAATGAATTCCCATCATACCAGTAAGATTACAAAAAAAAAAATAATCTTTGAAAATGCAGGCAGGAAGTTGCCTTCTGATAAGACTGTCTGCTTTATCAAGAAATGGAATGTGGTTCAAAACAACCCCTCCTCCAAGTATACACACAAAAGGAGGAGTTTGTGATAGCTCTGTGGCCTTGCTAAATGTCTAACACAAGACTGAAAGAACTGAGTTCTGAATGTGGAGCATTCATAGGCTGGAACTGACATGCCTTTAGTGATGAGATGCACATTACGTGTGTCAGAAGCAAGATGCAGGTTAACAATGGGGGTTCCCAAATAACTAACAACTTGGCAAGGAGAACTATGGAGAAATAAGGAGATTTATATCTTAATGACAGATTCTAACATGGAGACACCCTCGTTAACAAGAGAGAAGCTTGAAATTTGATCAGGATATTAGCTCTCCTGACAAATTTCTCATGGCTTTCCCTTCTCCTTCCAAAAAAATTCTTGGAGAGTACCTTGATTAGGCTACAACTGCTTCATTCCAAACCCTTTCAAATTAATCTCTTGTCCTATCATTTACCAACATACAGTCTAGCTACTAATCTGTGGCTTAAAGAAATGATAAACAGATTAATAAGGAACGCATACATCATACGTGTATGTGCATATATGTTCACAATGAAACGAAGTAACCCACCACATCATAAAGAAATTTTGAGGCTAATGAGGAGATTCATTGCTTAATAAGAAGTCCTAGAGGTTAATAAGACCTACAGCCTAATAAGGAGACCTACTGGTTAATGAGATGTACAGTTTAATGAGAGGACAGAAGAAACCATTTTAATACTGGATTCAATGTACATCTTACTCCCATACTTAGCAACAGAGCTTACAGGAATAAGAAAAAGTTAAACATAAATTAATAAAATGTAAGGATAATGCACATTTATAATTTACTATACTGACATCACTGAAAGAAGTCACAAGGACTGACCTCTTCCACGGTTCCCCCTTCCAGCAACATTTCCTGTACTCCCCTTCCATCATTTAACCATTCTGATGGCAGTGATAACCAAGTGATAATCTTCATGAGGGGCAAGTGATTTGGGCTGGTTAACACAGGCCAAAAGGGGCTGGAGCGAAATATGACACAAGGTAAAAAAAAAATTAGCAAGCCTCAAATGTTGTCATCCCCATGATCCATGGGACTTCTTTACATTGCCTTAATATAAGGCTATACCATTAGAAATGGGTCAGCATTATTGTTTAACTACATGTGCTGCATGCTGGCTATTATGCCTTCATTTCAGAGCTCCATGAGAAGTTTGGAGTGTCTGCACAGTCTGGAGGCTTACAATATATGAATCAATAAAACTGTTTCATAAAAGTAAGGTCTTTTCAGATGTGTGGTGAAACTCTGAAATCCTGATGTTGTGCCATAGCATACATAGCCACATTGTGTATGGTGTTGGTACTGTCTGAAATGTGGGTGTGGAGATACAATTTAGGGGGCGAGACTGCCCATTTCTGGCACAAACTGCGAGATCATCTCCAGCATCTCTAAAACTACTCACATTCTGGATGTGTGTATGCACGGTTCACTTTGACATCATCTAATTGGCCGGACACCAGTGTCTCTACCAACCGCTCAATGAATTCTCGTACCTGAGCTGAATCTGTGTTCATAGCGGTTCCATTCTCATGAGCTGCAACACAGAGCAAAGTGTTACAAAGTGAAATATTTGAGACTATATCATCAAGCGATTCTAGTATCAAGATATAATATAAGACAGTGTGTATGAGAAATAATAAAGATTTGTCATCAGCAGCAATATCTTTCCCAGTATAAGGCACCATTGACATGTTATAATGAACATAAGCGAGGCATTTTCCCACCTTTTCATGTCTGATAGTACTTGGAGACATTTTATAATCCTTTTGGACAGGAAAGGAAGCGGAGAGAAAGTATGTTGAACTAACACCTACTGGGACAGGGATATAATGTGGTTTTGGCCACACCATAGCTCAAGCGGTTAGTCGCTGGCTTCCCACTGTGGCGGCCCGGGTTCGATCCCCGGTCTGGTCAAGTGGGATTTGTGGTGGACAAAGTGGCACTGGGGCGGGTTTTCTCCGAGTACTTCTGTTTCCCCTGCCAATCTTCATTCCAGTAAACTCTCCATCATCGTATTCACCCGGGGCAGGCTACAATAGGCCAATCAATGGCCGCCATGCCAAATGGACCCAGTTGGACTCCACCCCCCACTAAGAGAATTACAAAATTAATTAATGTGGTTTTAAACATTGGAGTGAAATGGTCTTAATATGTCAAAGAAACTTGGATGTCTGTTGTTAAAAATTCCGCCCTCAATGGACTACCACCAGATATCTGGATTCTGCAGCTTTTATAGAGCCAGCACGGACCTCGATGTGTGTCGAGGTAAGTACCACAAAGAGGATGAGCAGCACCTGCTACAAGAGGACTGTAAGTGCAAGATTTTCTGCCACAGTGCACTATTCCAAATACATATACTGTTTATCTTGTTTTGGAACAGTGACTTACTGTCAGTAGTCATATCTTGATGTCAGCATACTTTTATCCACTAACATTGCACCCTATGCCAATGCACTCTTCTCTTCAAGCATCCTGCACTGAACTACTGTAACTATGGAGTCACAGCTCTAGCTCTGTATACAGGACCACTCCACACCACTACTAGGCTCACAATCAGGCTAGTGATGGCCTCTTCTTGTCTTGCAACCACAGTTTTAGGCATGTTACAATTTGGGGAATTTTTGGGTTATAACGCAGATGGGGTGATCTCAGCTATTCTAGAAGAAACACAGTGAGAAGGGGTATGGGGAATCCCACAGTTTCGCGAAAGAAAGGTGTCCACTGGCCAATCTTGCCACCCCTTCTCTGCTCAGTCCCACAATACATTATGCAGTATTCAGCAGTTCAATACAGTAACTTATAACTGTATATGAAGTTCAGAAAAATCATCACTCGAGAACACCAGCCTGGTCAGAAGTAGATTGGTGTTGATACCTGGTCTCAATAAGTCTGTAAGGTGCACTATCAGGAACTACTTCTTGTGCTCTGACTCTGATGGCCTTGCTCAACTACTTTAGGGTCTGGCAGCTGATCCAGAAGCCCCTGGGCATTCCAAGGAACAGACTGGTTCCCCTCTGGTCATAGTATTCCCTTTTATATGTCCAAATCATTGTAATCATTTCTTTTCTAACTCTATTAACACATTCTGAATTCCAGTTTCTTCCTTAAAAGAAATCGCTTGTGTGTCTAACTCTTCTTGTTTCTCTCTCAACACTTTCATAGACTGCAGATACAAACTGATTACTGTAAAGGTAGTCACATTACAGATACCATTCTGCACTGTGTCAATAATTACATTCCTTTGCATTCCATTAAATATTCATCAGACTGAAAAATGTTTCACACAAAATTTCAAGTACAATCTACATTTTACATCATGCACCAGTTTTCTATTGTACAATGACCAGTTTTTCAGAAATTTACCATTCTCCCTCCCCTTTTTTAATGCTAGTGGGGTGGGACTAAATCCCTTGTACTGCGGCCACTTCTGGCCTATTGTACCAGCCCCAGATGATAGGTGAGGGTGATTGTGGAGCAATTGGTGGAATGAAGATTGGTAGGGGAAACCAAAGTACTCGGAGAAAACCTGTCCCAGCGCCACTTTGTCCACCACAAATCTCACTTCACCAGACCCGGGATTGAACCCGGGCTGCTGCAGTGGGAAGCCAGCGACTAACCGCTTGAGCTAGGGCGTGGCCCTACCTTTCCACTTACACAGGGGTTATATTGGTCTTATATGAATGAAACTTAATTCACATAATATTTAATACAAATCACAGTACAAAATTTAATAAAAATCCATTCAATTGTGCTGGCAATAGAACATGCAAATGGGCACAAGTCTCTACTGTACATTCACTCTGTGTAATAAAAACAATAAATGGTGGGGTTACTTGTATAGTGCACACGAAAAACAAAAATGCCAACCAAAATGGTATTTCAAAGCTGAAGATGATGACTAGAATGAGCTGCTGGAACAGACCTGTGTTATTCTCTGTCACAGCAGCGGCCCTGGAGAAGCGGTTCCGTATGTGCCTGTAGAACCAGTCGCCCGACTGCAGCTTCAGTTCCCTGGAACAACAGTGCCACTAACATCACTGTAACCTCTGAGGCACAGCATCATCCCAGCCTATCACCCTGTTGCACACTCGGCAGTACATGATAAAAATTAGTTCCTGGACAATATCCATCATCCTGCATCGTCTGCATCTTCAGATGGAACCTACTCAGTTGGGCCCAATCAATAGAGCTAGTCCCTATCTCAGACACCAGCACAAACACAAGATGCATAAAAAAATCACAGCATAAAATATCTGCAATAGTTAAGATAAACATTAAAATCATTAAAAAACTGCACACATATGAGGCCTAGCATCTGTGTCCATACACTATTTCAGGCTGTTGTTGTTAAAATCAGAGCACTATTAGAACAGAAGTCATCACTAAAGAGATGAATTCTCTGTATGGTATCAACATGAAAACAACAGCTTTCACACATAATCTACACTGGACAGAGTCGAAGTTTTCTGACTTTGCTATGATAATAGGAGTCCTGATGGGAGAGTTGTTCAGGCTGGGTTGACTGATCAGATATCTACCAGAGACATGTGGGTGGATTCCTTGTATTCCCTGTAGGTGGTGTTTGGTTCACTCTGCAAGACCGTCACTTCTTTGCAACATATTTTATGGGCTTCTTCATACGCACGTTGGGCTAATTTTGATTTTTCAAGGAGACTTTGGATCAGGTTATATTTGTGCTCCTTAATATGTACTTCTATAATCCTGCTCGTTTCGCCAACATAACACATGGGATATTGCACAAACTGCTTCATCTGCTGTCCAGGAACACAATTATTGCATTAATATATGATCATCACTAACTTTGGATCTTACTGTCTTTAACGTTTGATATCTATAAACGACTTTATCATTATTTGGAAAGTCCACTAGGGAAGCATCAGATAATTGGACAGTTCTAAGCAACATTGAGCCAGATTGCTTTTTTCTTGCAGGCAATGTCACAGGGACTGTTCTGTCCCATTGGTTCTTGCAATTAACCATAGATTTCCTAATCTGAGACATTTATTGTTGCATGTATGCACTGACAATTGTTGGTAGGTCTAAAATATTGTCATGAGTATTAGTGGGTAGAGACGGGGTTCTGATTGGTAGTTTGTTTATTGGATCTTCACTAGTCATAACTACACTTAATTATTACACTATTACGGGTTTACACAATTTACAATCACTACATGCTAATCCCCTCAGACTATCTGCAGTACTTTTCAGGTACTTATAACATGGGAGCTATACAAGCCTCAGTGAATCACTCTCTCCCAATAACACTACACTACCACACACATGAAGTCTTCTATTTCACATGCAAACATTTCACAGGCTGACCTCCTGTATCCTCCTGTACTCCTAGTTTCAACTCGCTCTTCCAGCTTACTGCTTCAGCGTCGGCAGTTTGCTCTCTTTTATAGGCGCGGGACAGACAACGCATCACAGCAAACACATGTCACGTGATCGCTACCCAATACTGTTGCGTGACGTCATAATATGATTACAGATATGAAACCAACGAACGAGATACATTTATTGCGTCTTACTTTAGTCTTTTTGTTACTGAAAGTTTCCATTTACCTAAACCGCTTACTGTGTTGTGCTGAAATTTCGAACTTATCAACAAAGAATTCTCACCTACGCCGGACACAGACGGAGCACTTGCGTCGTGACGCTGTGGTTTCGCATCGCGGACATCTCTCGTCTTCACCCTCCGTGCGTAGTGAGGAGTGCAGCTTACTGAGAAATCAACAAACAAATCATTTTATACTCGGTGGCTAAATACATTAAGCAGACGGACTTGGCAGATTCAGCGAATTTTCAAGTTAAGAAACAAATTAATTAGGCGCGCCTTATTATTTAGTTCCACGCGTACCAGAATGATCAAGAAATAAATGGACTCACTGAATACTTAAGTAACCACATATACAGAAGATAGGCGGATCTTAAATTTGAGTAATAAAGCGGACGGACAGCCACAATATACAAACTTCACGAACATTCAAGTAGCCAATAAAACAGTCAGACGTATTTCACATTCGAGGGAAGAACTGCGCAAGCGGATACACACAAGTGCATAAACGAGGCCCATCAAAGCGCTTGCTTTAACATTAAAATCCCCACACATTTTCCTCCACATATTGTATTTATGCTTTATGTATGAGTCTACCAAATAAGCAGCGATTACGTTCAAAGCACTGTCCGGTTGGTCCTTGTAACCGACAGTAGCCTGTGGGGGGTGGGAACTGAGTCTTAAAATGTTACTTTGACGAAGGGTAAAAGCAGGGGTGTATGCTTCTTAACCGCCAATCATACTGTGGCATGTCTGTCGAAAGCCAGAATTGTGAAGCCAGCAGAGAGCCGTTGTTAGAGAACGGCTCTGCAAACATGCCCCTTGCTAGGCAATGGCTGAATAGCAGGCACGCACCCAGAGGAACAGAAATATTACAACTCGTCTGTTTAGGAAATTAAGATTGTTTGGATATATCCTGGAGGGTTTCTGACGTTATGTGATCTGTGTGCACGTTTCGTGGAACTGATTACATTAATCACTTTTACAAGAAAACGAGATATAAAGGCAGTAAGATGGGAAGTGAAGAGATAAAAACTCGCAAGGCGACGTACTCTAGATAGGCTGCATAGATTAAGCAATTTATACGAGATCTGATGCTCTCATGGCAGTGAAGTTTCATACTGTGATTTTCTTTATGATACCGGGAAGTCTGGTACATTGTTATGGACATTTCATACAGACGTAGTGTCTCCATCTTCAGGGCAGAAGTAAGTCAAAAAATGAGTCCTGACTTGGCTCTTCTGCATAGAGTCCTTCAAAGGTTTGCAACTTCAATCTAGTCTTTATCATGGTTTGCAGATATTTCATAGCTTGTTCTCCTGTCCATGAACAGCTGCCCTTCTCTTCCGGGTCCACTGGGGCTCTATCTCCTCTTCCCCATTCCTGGCTGCGATTGCAGACTCCTCTTTTGTGGCTCATTCACCTTCGACTTCTCCTGTGGGACCTCAATCAGCCACCTCATTTACTCAGCGCAGTTCTCCCCTGAAGATGTGCACCTCCGAAGCACTGTTATGCACCTACCAGACTACATCAGAGGACTACAATATAAATTCTAGTAATCTGTTTGAAACGTTCACAACTGCACATTCGTCGACACTGTAGCTTCCCGTGATACAGAGCGCAACAATCCCAACAGCGGTAACTATACAGTAACAGTCGAGGATAAATCAATAGCACCATGGAGATACTGGGTTTTCGGACTTTATCCATCGTCCTGGTTTTTAAGACAACTAATAAAAACACGACGTTTCGGAAACTGGATCTGGTTCCGTCCTCAGGTGAGGGAAAAACACCTATTCTGTTGGGTCCCTTAGAAAGAGCTAGCCTCAATCACTGGACAACCGATATCACAAAACACAAAGGTTATAAACACCTGAGACCAGGCCAAGTACATAAAAGATTGTTCCAAACACATACAAGCGTGGAACCAGGATAGATAGAGCCGTAGAAATTTAGTAACTAATAGCACCATGTTTGCAGTTCACTAATATTCAGCATGTAGCCATGTTTCTGTTAGTTAAATGTCGCAGGCCGCAATTTCGCTATGAAGAGTGACCGATAAGAAGGTTCACGCGGTCAGCTCGTTTCGATGGAAGTCACAGTGCAGCTGCAATGCTTAGCCCCCAATCCAAGAAAAGATTACAGTGCTCCATTAAGGTCTTTCACTAAAATACTGATAAAAGAGAAAGGCACTTACGTACTAACGGGTGACTCAAATCACTACAAAACTTTGTTGCCGAACTGTCCGCCATGTCAGCGCTCTAGAACGCAGAAGTTATATGCAAAAACAAAACACAAAAACTAAATACACAATGTTTTTGATTGTTTGTAAAGGCATAATCAAAAACAAAACCTTTTGAAAACGGAACTAAAGGCCTAAGTTTGTGGTCAAGCAGCGCTAACGTGGCAGATAGGATGGCAGTAAAATTAAAGTTGCCCTTATGCTTAACTAATCAAGCACGACGCCAAGAAATATGGGGGAGTTGATGTATATATCCACGTAGTCTTTATCTCTGCACTAGCTAGAGGTGAGTGGTCAGCTCCACACCCCGGTCTTTGTACCCCCGGGGAAAGATCCCGCGGTACGCATTGGATAAGAGGCTGGTGGGCACCACAACTAGTCTGGAAGGTGTGGAGAGGAGAAATATCTTACCCCTGCCGGGACTCGAACTCCCACCGCTAAGCGGTCCAGCTTGTCGCTAACCTGGCTCCAGCATCTTGTGTAGGATGGCGGTAACTTTGTAAATTACGTGGGTCAGTTGTTAATAGGTAGGTACCACGAGAAATACAAAGATATATTAATTCTTTAAGTATTACTCAATGAGGTCTGTTCAGGGCTTCACTCTGCGTGACAAATGTGAGACGAGTAACCTCTAAGAAACGCCACCAAAGGCAGCTGTTGCCTTCGCACGGCCGCCTCGTATCAGAGACGTCACGTCACGAATAACCGAATTTCGGCATGCAGACAGGACCTTCTGACTGGAGTTTCGGTGGCTTTGTCAGTCTCTTTAGGCAACCAGAAGCACAGTACACGTACATCAAATTGGGTCACGAGTATACCCTCCCACAAGCTTTGCAACGCTTTATTGTTAAACATTATTCGGCCATAGTCTGAGCTGATATCGTTAAATAAAGAGTAAACAATATAAGAAACTCATGTCATTAGCCGTCCTGCATGCAACTTGTTCTTTAAGTAAAAAGGTAGAAAAGTAAAGCTATCCCTGCACCAGGCCGTGGAGGCCCATAGGGTTGTGAGACGTTGAGGCTCCCACATTATCTAGACAATCGGCTCACAGATGGCGGTAAGGTTGTCAGCCTTACGCTCCGGCCGCGCTTTACTCCCCAGGAAAATTATTTAATTCCTGGTACTCATTTCTGTTAGAGGCTGAGTCGACCCCAGGGCTATAGTGCGGCTGGAAGGTTTAGGTCAATTTAAAATATCCACCTTATCGGAATTCGACCCCGCCACCTTCGGGCTTGTAGCATAGTGCCTCAACCAACTACGCTACCGCGTGCTCCCATTAAAATTTTAAAAATGTTTTAAATTTTAAATCTCTTCTACATCACTGATGTTTGCACACTACATATTTCGACCAACATCGGTCATCTTCAGGTCTCTAAAATTGCTGTGCTTCCGTCCTTATGTTCAGTTCTTCAGGGGGTATTATCAGCAATTGTAGAGGCATAAATGTTGGTCGAAACTTGCAGCGTACAAATAACAGTGAAGTAGAAGGGACTTTAGAGTTTAAACTTTTGAAGATTTTAAAAATAAATTTTCAGGTAAGACGGCCAATAAGTAAAGCAAAATTTTCTCTGTGTTTAAGTAATAAAGCAATATGCCATGAAGCTGTATGAGGGAGTGAAATGAATAGATCCATGTTTGGAGGTGAGTGGTCAGCTTCACACTCCGGCCGCCTTACGCCCGGTCAAAGAGCCCCAGGTACCCATTGGATAGGAGGCTGAGTGGAGCCCAGAGCCTGTCTGGACGACATGAAGAAGAGAAAATTCTTGATCCCACCAGGACTAGAAACCGAACTCTTCGGTCGTCCAGCCCGTAGCCAGTCGCTATACACACTATGCTATCCCGGCTAACAAGAAATAAATACGTAACGAAGTGCAACGTGATGCTACGATACGAACGTTACGGCCTATATGGATCTTGGTCTCTGTACCATCAAACCTCCCTTCTGCTTTCACAGCAAAACTGACACAAGTTCAAGCATACCGGAAATGTACAAGTATCAACAGCCTCCGTTACTCTTCCGGCGTACACGAAGTGTGGCAATATGGCGCATGGGAAACGCAGAAGGACACATTACTGGCACAGCCACGTGTGCTTGCAGCTTCCTGGGTGCCTTGTGGAGGCACAGTTTGGACTGTCGCTTTGTAAATTCAGGTAGAACATGCCGTGAAGACATGTTGCGAAGTGGAGGTACAGGACTATTCTTGATCTCGTCACTAGATGGAGGTGTGTGGTCATCCTCACGCCCCGGCCGCTTTACCCACCGGAATGAGCCCCTGGTATCAACTGGATGGGCCCCAGTGCCGGTATGGACGCTGTGGAGGAGAGGAAATTCTTACACTACCGGGAATCGAACCCGGCCTGTCCAGCCTGTAGTCCGTGGCTATACCGACTCCATGCTCATGTAAGTAACCAAATTAATAAAAAATTCCGTGGAGAAGAGACTTTCTTGAGAACCTACCACTTAGTTACTCAAAGTTTCGTTATCGTCGTGTTCATAAAAGCCCTCCAGTGGTCGCTACCCCAAGCCAAAGGCAACATCCTGTAACGTATGAACTCCATTACTCAGGGCATCTGGGCGCTACACAATTCAGGGTGAAAGCGAAGTGACGCAGCTTCAGGCGCAGGAGACGTCTCAATAACGACGCCTTACTCTTAAGAAGCCTCCTTGTAATACAGAAAATCTATAGGCAGAAACAGGCTGAGGGATCGGAGTTCGAGTTCCGGTAGGGGCAAGAATTTTCTCTTCATTTCGTCGAGACCGGCTCTGGGGCCCACCCTGGGGATAAAGCGGCCGGAGCGTGAAGCTGACCAGTCACCTCCAACTAATGCCGATGTCAAAAATATGTGTATCCATACATGCACTCCCCTATACGTTTTCACGGCGTAGTACTTAATTAGTTAAACACAGGTAGATAGACACTT